CACGTAGAGCAGAAATAAAGACACTTTTATTATATAATTCGAACTCAATCTATCGATTAAGTCTAGTATAAACTCGATTGCTTCAGCCATTATTGAGGATTCGAAATATTATAAAGACTCAAATGTCCGACTCGCGTTAAGATACACGGTGTCTCCGCTACGCCCTTAACTGGTCGCGAGACACTACCGTGTCTCTTGATATGTTTTGATCCGGAGAATAATGTTTCCTTTCGTCAAGGGAAAATGTAAAGCCGGAGAACCGTTTCAGATGTCAAAGTTGTCAGTTTGACGGTCGTCAGAATCACGGAGAAAAGCATCTCGAGTGGACGGAGTAATTGTGATAAGCTATTAAATAAAGAATTGTGTGTTTTGCGTTCATCTGTAATTTTGTTAGAACGTTTTAAACAAAATGCTGAGTGTGCAGGTCCATCAAAAGACGGACTGGGCCCGTCGGTATCGGATTGCGAAGATGATGGTAAGTTTGAAGATTTTTGTATAAAATTATGTTTAATATTAGTTCAATTTTTTGAATTGATAATAATCTGAAATACATATATATTATGCAGATATATCAGAAGACACATCGGATTGGGAAGATGATGGTAAGTCCGAAGATTTTTGTATAAAATTTTTGTTTAATATTAGTCATATTTTTCGAATTGATAATAATCTGAAATACATATATATTAAGATGCAAAAATACATATCTATTAAGAATACATATATAAGAAAAATACATATATATTAAGATGCAATGTAGTGAATAATCACGCGTACTTTCTTTCTCGAAATCTGATAGCATTAATCATATTAGCGAATTGTATCAATTTTTAAATATACTAAACAAAACAAGTTTAAGATCGAGGAGGTCATCAGTGTTCAAGCCAAAAATATATTTGTGTAAATAAAAGAGATAGATAAAATTATATTACAAAATGTAACTTCTCATTATTACACATATTAAATAATTTTTTTCATATTTATCATTATTTCAACATTAATAATCCATCTATTTCATTGTTTTTGTATCGGAAATATAAATAAATCGCCGTTTTACGAGTTTACATATAGACAAAGTAAGAAAATAGGCAATTATATATTTAATTTAGTAAATGTAAAAATACATTTGCAAATCTTTTTCCTTTTTTTCTATATAATGTTATTTAATTTATATTGATTTTATCGCATCGCATGTGTAAATTTATTTGTACGTGTAACAAAATTTATAGATCCATATGCAAGATAATTGAATGAATGAAATTTGACACACAGTTTTTGCATCTAATGTATTTTGCATTTATATGTATTGTTAATTATTATATCTTGTCAATTATGATTAGTTTAATTTAGTGTATTATAATTAAATTACTTTCTTTTGTAACATATTTTTCCTTTGATTATTTAATAAATTTAATTTTTACTTTTATATTCGCTAGTTGATCAAATAAAGGAAATGCGTTTCCAATTTGCAATCCAATGGTTGTATAAAATTATGCAAAGCGAGAATGATGTTGTGTCATGTCCGTTTAGCCTTCATGATGGACTTCTTAGAATGTATTTAACGGTCTATGATGACAGTAAGGAACTCTTGAAACGCATCATTTTTAAATCAAGTTATTTCAACCATTGGATTAAACCAAAGATAGAAAATTATACATCTTACGACACCGCTTTGCACAGGTAAATAATAGTTACAAAAAATAATACAATAATGGAAAATAATTAGAAACTTTACATTCTATATAAAATTTAAAATAAAAAAAATTTTATCAAACGCGAACTTTGCAATTCTAAAAGTATACATTATTAATAAGGCGATTTAAAAAGAAATATTTATTATTTAAAATAAATAAAGGTCTCACTTAATTTTTTATTTTATGTTATCAGTTGATAAGAGAAAATGAAGATGAAGATTTTTCTTATTCTATGGATCAGTGTTTTTGTTGGACTAGTTTCAGAGTTAAAAGATCTAGAAATAAAAAAAGACGACGAAACCGAAACTCTAAAGTTTCAAGATATTTTAATAATACAAAGAAGTTTGAACTTTTTGATATTATGCACAATGCAGGCCGTAATGAGATCGAGAGAATAACACATATTAATAAATACATGAAGGTTTATACAACATCTTTCATGTCTGAACCTTTAGTATTTCTGAACCGAAGAAAATCGCCGGAACTTGTATTAACAAATATATTCCGCTATACACAAAAATTCGAAAAAGTTTCAACAGCCTCATCTCTATCTGTCGCATCATCAATGCCTTCATTAGCGGCTCATATTTATCAACGAAAGCGCATAGGCTGTAAGGATGCCATTTTTTAATTTTATTTTAATATTTTATTTACTATAATCTTTTAGGTATTAGGTCCAAATACCAATTTATTAATAAAGAAATTAAAAAATTGTGCATTGATAAATAATTTAAATTGTAATGAATAATAATTATTAGATAATTAGAATAATAAAGATAATTGTTAACTGCATATTTAAAATTCTTAAAAACAATAACAATAATTTTGTAACTTGCAATTTTTATATTTGTTTTTTTCTTAATTTTTAAATTACAAATTAAAATGTGTTTTATGCAAAAACTCTAAATTGTTAAAAATATGAATTCTTATATGTATTTTGAAAAATATTTATTTTTAATGAGCAAATAATCTATTTTTGATTTCATTGATTTACCTATCTTTAGCATCTTTTATTGCTCTTCATAATATAAATTTTTTTTTTAGTTTTCTCGAAAAAATTAGCAATACACGTGAGCGAGTTTCCCTGTCTAAGAGATGAAGGAGATGGCACGTCGCTGTACGTCGTGTTACCTGCTACATTGGTCTCAGATACGTGGACGATTAAACAAAATATCACCAAAGATGACATTTTTAATTTAGTACTCCGATTGTTGGAACCTAACGGAGTCGTGGTGTTGCAAGAGCTGCTACATGGAGTTAAGGCATTAGAAGGAGATGATACAGGCATTGAAACATGGCCGACTTTCAAGGTAAACAATTTAGAACTATTTGCTTAAGACACATTTTAATTTATAATTTAAAAATTGAGGAAAAAAAAACAAATATAAGAATTACAAATAACAAAATTAGTGTTATTAAAAATTTTAAACACGTAGTTAGAAATTATCCCAATTATTCTAATTAGATCTAATAATTATTATTCAAGGTGGAGACAAATGTGGAAATTCCTAATCTGCTGGAATTTCTAGACAAGGAAGAATCATTCGTGCCTGGCGCAATTGATCTGTGGAAAGATCGTACTAGAAACGCCAAAAATGAACACAAGTTGAATCTTGTGCACCGTGTTCGTGTCGACATTACGGGGAATCACACCAACTTGTGTGCGATCAACTCGATCTGCACAGAAGAAGGGATTGAACAGAAACCTAACATCTTCGAAGTGAACAACGATTATCCGTTCGTCTGGTTTATCTATGATAAAGAATTTCGAGAAATCTTTTTTATCGGTGTTTTCCAAAATCCTAAAAAATCGGATCCTGAAATGTTCGAGAAGATCGTATAAAATTAATTTCACAATTGCACGATTCGATTCTAAGACTGCAGCAACAAAAGTGTATTAGAAAATGACGTAATTATCAAATTTTTATTACATGTTTTCTCTTTTTTGATTTAACTTCTTATCGATTTCACTTTGCATGTATTATTTTATCTTCTATATGTATTAGAAATTTTTGTTAATCATATGTAGCTTAATTAAATAAATCGATCTCTTCAGTTTTCAGAATCGTTAAAAGAGTTGTCCTTCTATTTACTAATTATAATTCATTCATTGTGATAAACTTTATTTAATTAAATATAATTAATTTTACGTCTTTTATATTTTTTAAATAAATATGAAAATAATTATATATATTATAATAATTTAAACAGATATGGAAAATTACGTAATTATCGAAGCTATTATATTTTTCTCTTTCTCGGTTAATTTTTTTATAGGTTTGAGTTGATATGCATCATTCGATTCTATACATATTTTATTAGAAATTTCTGTTAATCATATGTAGCTTAATGAAATAAGTCAATTTTGTTACTCAAAGTTAATATTTACTTTCCATTAAATTCTGACTTTTCGTGTCTCGAGAAAGAGAGATAAAAATCTCGTAGTCTTCAGATCTTTTTAAAAATATACTCTATTTGTGCGATTATCGTAAATTTATTCTTGCTTTGGAATTTTATAATTTTCTGAATTTTTTTGCTTTCTCAATTAATTCGAGATAAGATTGTAAAACACAATTTTTACTAAAAGACACTGATATTATTGTCTGTTATTGTTTATAGATGATAATTTTCAGTAAGGAAGTGAATTAATATGTACTGTGATTTTTACAATTACTATACAATATTTTGCATGCGTGAAATGAAACGGAATCAGAAATTCTAATGCCAAAACGTATAAATATACATATGTACCTACTTATTTATAGTACATCTCATAAATGTTATTAACTTATTTTTTTTTTAAACGAAAAATAAAATTTAAAACCGAAATAATCGTTCTTAAAATTAAACATTGTATTAATGTGTATATTATATGTATATTTATATGTCTACAAAATTTTTAATAGTATTAATTGTGGTAATAAATAATAATAGAATGTACTATTTTTTCCTATCAAATATTTTTGATCGTACGTTCTACCTTATAGTTTATTTTATGTAATTTTGTCATTAATTATTTTATTAATTACGCTATTATTTTGATATTAATAATGTCATGACTAATAAGTCATTTAACATAATTTTTTAAATAATATATTATTAAATCAATTCGTGATTCTCTTCCTGAATTACACATCATCAGGTTCGATGATAGAATTTTAGTTCTTTATTCATTTGACGTGTACATTATAAATATATTTTTTATATTTTAGTAATCACATTATATACCGTGCATGAGATAACGTATATTTACATTTTATATAGTAATAAATAAGTATTTTAAAGGGTATAAAACATAATTTAAATTAGAACGCATTAATATTATTGCCGGATAATACGTAGATGATAAATTTGGATAAAGCAGTAACTATATATATAATACGTTTGAATTTTAAACTACAAAAAACGATTTTTAAAGAATTCCACGGATAAAACAAACGGTTCTTAGAAATTGAAATGTTTCACATAACGAGTTTCTCGCGCAGAAAATCATCGTTAGCCAATCAAAAATCGTAAAATAAAATGTGTCTAAACAATATAATCGACCTTTCTTGACTAAAGTTACCAGTATACATCCAATCAGTTTTTTAAAGTTGCATCATTTCAAGATTTTAGTCAACTCGACAGCTTCGCCAATTTATAAATCAACATGGCACGAACAGAACACTTCATACATAGTGAGTTAAAAAATATTTAAACAATCATGTAATTTTATTGTCAATTTTATGGTATAGAGAATAATAATAATTTTAATAAAATAAATTTGTGTTGCCATAGAAATATTTTCTTATGATATTATTTTATATAAAATATTTAGATGAATGTTTGCTTTTATATTTTTAATGATTATTATCATCCTTTCCTTTTGTTACTTAATAAGTTTTGCGAACCCATAGATTCGATTCTTTTAAAACTATGTGCTCTTTCTCGATGTTTCTTGGTATTAATTCTTATTTTAGAAATTGTTTCTTTTTTTTAGATAAATTTAAAATAGATTGAGTTTATATATAAAATTAGTTTATTAAAGTTTATAAAAATTTTATGGTCTGTGTTATAAATGATAAAATATATTTGAATAATTGTAGAAATATTATATGAATTTATTTCGCAGAATAAAATTTCTCTATCTTTATTTGTAAAATATTATAATTAAATTTTTTGATAACAAATAATATATCTATCAATTACGAAATTTTTATTCATTTTACTTTCTGAAAATGACTAATGAGTCAAGTACTGTATCTCGGAATTTCGATACACAGAATTCAAAGTTTTTATGTGATATAGCATATTAATAAATAAAGGTAATAATTAGAAGATTAACAAGGATAACAATATCCAAACGACCGATTTGTTATTTATATCTTTATTTAAAATCTTATCTTTTTTTTCCTCCTTTTGATTAACTTTTATTATCGAATGTTTATAACATTTTAAATAACATTTAATATATTTATATATAATTTAATGTTTACAATTTATAATATTATATTTAATTATAATATTATATAATATTATATTTTATAGTAATAGCATTATATAAGTTTAGAAAAGTATACGTCTGTATAATTAGATATTTATTAATAATTGTTTAATAATAATATATATAAACATTTGTTAATAATTTTATTATACAAAGCTGTTTTTAATCCAAGAGTCAATGTATATACATCAGACAATTTTTTATAATTTATTATACGTAATTTGTTTGTTTTGAATTTATTTGTACATAAATGAGTATTTAAAGTTTTGACACAAGTTATATTTATTCTATGATATCGTGACATTGATGACTATATTAAAATCGTCATATCGCTGACGAGAATATTTCAAAATCTTATTTTTCGTATATTTACAATTTTTCGTAGAAAAATTCTATAAATGAGTATTTTTATTATATTTCAAATTAAATTAAGAATTGCGATAAAAATAAATTAACGACATGCAAAATAACTGTGGTATAAATTTAACACCAATTGAGTTGTATATTGCATTTATTTAATTTTTGATGAAATATTATATAATTAAATGTAATTACTTATTTATGTAATATATATCTTTTTTATCGCCTTTGTCAGTTCAACTTAACTTTTTTCTTTCTAATTTTCATCTTTTGTCTTTTATGTTTAAATCAGGCGTTCTAGAACTACAAGAAGCACGTTTCGATTTTGCGCTCGATTGTTTGCATCATGCGAATAATATAAGATCCGGCAATATTGCCTTTAGTCCGTACAGCTTATATGAGGGACTTACGATGATTTACTTTGCATCCAGTGATGGTGACACCGATACACGTTTAAAATATGTGCTTAAATTGCCTGATGATATACTCAAAAGTTTCTGGGTGACATATAACATAGCCGAAAGAATGAAGGAGGTAACCAATTTTGCCGCAAATGATTGCATTATATTATTTATAACGAGATATCAAAGATATGTCAAAAAGCATTTCATATCTACATATTCGAATTTTTAGAATTTTTTATAAATAATACATCTTACAATTAGAATTGCGGATCTTTATTGCACGAACGTTTTGCTCAACAAAAGTGATTCTTTTTATTATGAGATGGATGAATATAAAAATATTTATACTAACATATAATAATTTATAAGTTTTTTATTTTAAAAACTTGATGGGGAAATGACGGAAATAGAAGTTTCGAGTTAATTTGTTTTAGACTGTTTTGTATAAAATAACGTAAAATTCATTGATATTCAACGTATTATCCATTGATACTAAAAGCTTGTGACATAATGTATTAAAAGGATGACAAAAATCCGAATATATTTTTCAGAAAGTTTAGAAAAACTTAGAATTCCCTTTTTTTATCATTAAGCAATTTTTGAATAATTGATACTACTAAAAAATACATATTTCAGAATAGAGAAGATTCGAACGGATTTTATAATCAAAATATCTGTTGGATTAATAAGGCCAAACAAATAAAAGATATCACGTCAAATTTTTTTAATTCAAATAAATTCACAGAATTAGATTTCAACGTTCAGACTAATTTAATGCATCGCATTAATGAAATACTGCAAAACGAGCTGCAAAATTACGTTCCCAAACCCATAAAATTTAACAATTTCAATGAATCTATGGAATTTATTCTGTCGTCCGTACTTTGCTTCAGAAACGACACGTTTCAACAACAACATGAATTTCTTACCAACATGCCGGAAAGTTATTTTCAACGACAACCTAGAACAGGTATAGATGCCATTTATTTTAATTTTATTTTTTTATCAGATAAGAAATATTTTTATTTTTTTATATTTATATCAACCCTATTTATAATTTTATTTAGTTGTTTTCAAATAAATAAAAAAAAGAAGAAAGAGATAGATATATTGCATACTATAATATTTTGTAAACATTGAATTATATTTATTTAATAAAAATTTAGAAATAATAAAACATTTTTGATAATTATTTAATAAATTTAATTATTTTAAATAATTTTAATAATAATTATTTAACAATAATATTAATAATAATTAATAATTTTTTGATATAATTATTTAAAATTAATACACACAAAAACAAATACATCTATATGTGTCCGGTGTTGCTCTATATGTATTTTATTTTTTTTTCAAAGTCTCATAAAAACGTGATAAATGTACATACCTTTTTTTAAAGTGCAAAAACATTATACAAATTTTTAAAAAAATGTTGATATGAAATCAAGATATTGTAAATAACAATTTCGTTTCTATTTATACTTTTACCTCTTTTTGTTAGTTACATTATATATAGTTTCAATAATTTTTATTTAGTCGTATCCTGTGAACTAAATATGGTGCTGACTGAGTTACCATTCATAAATAAGACCCAATCATTTATCACGTTATTTTCGGCTGTGCAAGATTCCGAAACCTGGCTAATTAATGAAAATATTGACGAATTGATCAAAGATTGACGACCTCAACAGAAAGCAAGAAGAAATTTTATAAAATGCTAAATAACATAAAGTCATCTACGGAAAATTAGAAAAGATCCTATATCCAGATCAATTCGAACTTGAGCACGAATTGCAGATCGAGGATCTGTTTAGCAATTTAAACTTTAAATCAATACTGGAACCCCACGGAGTCGATATACATACTTTCACTCATTTAAATCCAAAACTTGGCGGTGTTAAGCACCGTACTTATATCAAAGTGACAGAAGATCTTATCACCGCCAGCACAGTTAACGTGTTCTTTACCAAATTTGGAGGATGCTTTAATAATTTCAAAAAACTTGATAGAAACATTAAATTCAAACATTCGTTTGTTTGGATGATTTATGACAGATTTGTTCACGCCATCCTTTTCATGGGTATTATCAATAAAAATAAATAAAAATGTTAGATCTCCAGCTGACTCTTGTTAATCTTTTTTTTCGGCAGTTTGATTTTTAAATATAATTAAAATGAAATAATAATATAAAATCTTTTATAATTTTACAATATATTTTATAAGAGTCAATTTTCAAATATATAAATTGTAATTATATATAAGCTTAATTTAAACTATATATATATATAGAAATTTTATATTAGACTTCATTATAAAATTGTACTTTTGTGATGAGTATTATAAATTGAGAAACATTTGAACGTCATTATATGTTTACTGAGAAAATGTATCTTGACGTAAACTGATTGTAAGTGTTTTTATTAATTTTATTCTTCACAAAATTTACACTTACAATGTAAAAATGTTTGAGCAATTCGAAATGGTATAAACATTGATATAATTTAGAATTAATCTCTATATATAATTGTTAGTAAAATAACAAATTTGAAAGATTTAATTCTTCGGACCAGTTATTTTGTACAAGTAGAAACAACTAAAAAATTTATTATGTGTATAATATAAATAACCAAATTTGTAGTTTTAAATGTATAAAATTTTAAATACTAATAATATTTAATAAATAATTAATTTTTTTATATTATAAGGAAATACAGATATTCATTTAGTAGAATATAAGTTATTGATTAATTAAATAATATAGCATTAATTATAAAATGTACATGTTATGATCCAGATAGAAAAATTTCTTTCTTAAAATAAAAGTCGCACAGTTCTAGATTTTATATTTGAAATATTCAAATATACTGAAAAAATAAAATTATTTTATATTCGACTTAAGTTTACAAAAATTACATTTTGATTTAGCAGCATTCTACAAAATATACTAGTAAATCTGTAATTGCTAATATTATGATCAAATAAATTATAATTAAAATTTGTATGGCTTTATGTATTTATACGCTTTCATCGAGCAATATTTATAATGCGATCAATCCTAATCTCCAAAAACTACAATCGTTATATTTTAATTCTGTATTTAATTTTATTTTTTATATAGATTAATTTGAATAAAGTAAATTTCTTATTTTAAAATTTAACGAAGATTCTGTCTGCACGAATAATTTGACTAAGACAAATCAGAAATGATCGAAACTTTTTAACTGTGGAAAAATAAAATACTTTACAAATAATTTCTTAATTTCAGAAAACATTTGGTCACCTCGTTTGTCTATTCCAACAATGATATTATACTAATAATAAATTGTTGGCTTTACCAATACAAAATATGTGAACAACGTGAACATTACGACGTTGCAAAACATATTCAAAAAATACGACGGCGTCTAGCGCCATCGATATAATAACAAATAAACGTTTTCTCCTGATGTTTCCTTCCTGAATTAAACAAATGCTGTAACTCAATAAAAACATTGTCTCGTACATATTTTATGATTTAAATATTATAAGATGCAAATATATAACAGGAAGAACACAGAAAAATTTTACATAATATATGTTAATAGTTAAATGTACACATTACGAATTAAGTAATAACGTTCTATTATTTTTCTCTGTTTTAACTTACTATATTGTAGCCCTAAATTATATTTTTCATAATGCACATTAATTATATCCTCTTCACGCACCATTTTTTATTTGCTAAAGATTGATAAAAATAAAAAAGGAAATTCAGCATTTAATCAATGTATTCTTTCATATACTTTTCTATTCCTGATACTTTTATTCTATTTTGGCGTATAAAAAATTACACAAGCGTATGTATATTTAACATGCGCATATTTATACAATAATTACATCTAGCTAATAAAACACTTTCAATTTCAATATTAATGCTACATGATTAAATTGTAACTTAAAATGTATTTTAATGAATATATATATATATATATATAATAGCAATAAACAATTTTTAAAAATAATAAATATTTCTTTTTAATATTAAAAATAACGCAAATATTCATCATCTGTATATCTAGAGCTATTAAATATGGATTATAATTAATTATAAATTTAAATTTTAAAACAAACTAATTACTAAGAAAGGAATTATTAATAAATAATTAATTCTATTTGTAGACGCCTTTGAACACGAAGGTATATCCACAGGACAAAATTATTTCACACTTGGTTCGACTACCTGTGTACGAATTACATTTGATAGTAACGTTGTTAATAACTACAGCAAAATTATAATTGTTAATATTGTGATTAAATTAATTAAATAAGAGTCTTGTGTGTGCTTTATCAAATCACATGTTTGGTTTTACTTTTTTGTATAAACAGAAGTGGAATTAAATATTCAAATTAATGGGTCTAAAAATTCTTTTATAGAAGTGTAAATTTGTTGTCAATTTATCGAATAGATAATGATTTATAATATACGTATTTTATTTGTGGTATTATTTTACATATTGTTAAGTGAATTTATATTTCGATTAATTTAATAATCATCACTTGACAAGTCTTAAAAATTGGTAGTTGAAAATTACTCTAGAATCACGTACTTGTTTTGAAATCTGCTAGTTTTATTTGTATTTTTTAATTATTTTGCATTTTAGATACAAAATAAATTTAAAAATATATGTTTGTTATACTTACATCATAATTTCCTTATAGTTAGATATAAAATATAAAATATTAAATTATATAAAATGTTAAATATCATTATTAAATTTCATCGATACTAATACATCGACTTCGAATTGTGCATTTATTCTATTTGCCAGAGTGAAATACCGCTTTTCAAGTTCGTTAAATATTAAATAAAGTTCAAATGTATTCATGTTAATAAACATAGATAAAACTACATTCGTAAATCTCTCTTTTTTATTACTATTACGTATCATTAATTTTTTACTTCGAATATATAATTAAATTTAAATTGTAAAATATATTCTTGATATAAGCATATAAATTGTCAAATAAATTTTACAACATTTTAATTTGCATTTAACATATGTTTGATTATATATATTTTAAATATTAATTCATTAATTTCAATTCTAATTTATTGTAATTTTTTATTAATAGTAATATAATGTTACACATTTATATTATACATGTGTTTTTAAAAAAACTATAATCCTATATCAACATTATTTGTTATTATTTGAAATGTGCTTACAACAATAAGAGAATTGAATATTGTCATATTAAAAATAATATATTATTATTGGATTATATATAGGCATATATGTATTTTAACGATTTCTTCCTAAAATATCTTCCTAAAACTGTTCGACATTGTATTATATATTTAAATTAAGCCAAGATTGTGAGATAATGTTATATATATATATATATATATATATATATATATATATATATATTCTGAGACGACATCAGTCACAACTGAGACGTAAAAGTGATATTTTACAAGAAATGTAAACATTGCTTTTTGTGTGCGATAACGTGTATATTTTATGTTTCTTGTCTTGCTACGTTATACAGATTTAATAGTTCAAAATATATAAAAACCCTTTAATGCGTTTGTAAAAGAGTCACGCAAATTTAATTATCACTTTACCATTTAACGTTACATCAGTTTTGTGAAGAAGTGATATTTCTATTTATAAGAAAGATGATTAATTTTAAAATTTCCACACCAGGCAGAATCGTTCTATCCGGAGAGCACTCGGCGATGTATGAAAACATTTTGTCACAGCAAGCTTAGATCTTCGTACCAAACTCGAATTTTGCGAGCTACCTCATCCGAGAGACATCAGGATAGAATTCCCTAATGTCGATCTGGAGTTGGATATACCTTTAGAAAAGATTGGAAGGTTCTTTTCTGAAGAAGAGAACGTAAAATTAGATCAAATGTGCATTCTTAAAAACGTGAAATCCTTAATTACTGTGAACGGTATGTGGAAAACATACGAGCAGAGATCTAGTTTAATAATATTCTTTTACTTGCTTTATATTATCGCTATCCAGCAGAAGTTTAATATAACACCTTTTCACGTGCGAGTGTTTACGGAAATACCTATCGGCGCCGGTCTTGGCGGTTCGACATCTTTCGTGGTATGTCTGGCAGCGTGTTTTTTATACTGGAAGAATCTACAGTCGAAAAACCCTATTGAATTTGGACATGATCTTTTTTCGGAGTGCGTTAAATATTATGCTCAATTTTGCGAGGAATTTTTGCAAGACTACGAATGCGCGTCGGTCGATACCAACGTTTGCATATTCGGCAATATAATAAAAGGTCAACTTATCAATCACACAGAAAATCTAGAGTGCAACTATATAACAAGAATGAAGATATTGCTGATCGACTCAAATATTCGCCAGAAAAAGTGGACTCGAGCGAAACAAATGTCAACGTTGAAAGCTGAAACTCCTCTCGAGCTTGAGCCTATATTAAATACGTTAGACAACGTAACAATACAAATGTATAATTGGCTCCACTTAATAAACAATAGACGCAAAGATCCCAATTTGGTTAATTATTATCGGCGTAACAATTCAGTACAGGTATCATTTATGTTTTTATTAAACGGTATTATTATTTTATTATACATATATGTATATATTTATAATTAATTATTGTTAATAATAAATATTAATAATAAATATTTATACTTAATTTTAATAATAAATAATATTAATAACATTAATAAAATTAATATTAATAACAATAATAATAATAATAATATATTATTAATAAATATTACTAATAAATATTTATAATTAATTTTAATAATGAATGATAATAATACTAATAATAATAATAATAATAATAATAATAATATAATATTATATTAATAATAATATAAATATAAAATATATATATATATATATATATATATATATACATATACATTTTTAGCCTTGCTGCTGCGTTAACAAGATTGTCTAGTACATATATTTATCTGTTAAAATTATTATAAAAGAAAAAAAATATAGTATATACTGTTTTCTAACATTTTTCATGTTTTGCAGCGATCCTTCCAACTGATTCACTTATTATTGAAGCAATATGATTTATCGAATGAGATCTTCAATCGTATTTGTGAAACTGCAAACAATATGGGATTCGAGGGACTTATAGGTTTTGGAACTCGATATGTATACATTTTAATACCACCGAGCATTACAAACGACGAAATCGAGGAAATATCGATGCTGTTAAAATTTAAAAATTTTGATGTTATAAATACTAGCATCAATTGTGAGGGAATGAAACTTGACGAATGATTCATCTAAAATTATCGATTATTATGTATAAATGACTAATAATAAGTATATTATGTATAAATGACAAATGACTAAATGTAAGAAATATGTGACATAAGATTATTAACTTAATCACTACTTAATCACTTTATTAATAGTAGTTTCAAGAAAGTAGGACTAACAATTATATATTAATTTGTTTAATATAAATATTCTATTGCTTAAAGATAGCATTCTCTTTATGTGGTATTGAATTATGAAATTAAAAGCAAAAAATTATTGAGAAGTTTTCTTGTAAAATATTTTAAAAAATATTATTTTTTTTATTTTTTAATTTATTTTACATTGAAAATATAATTGATCATAATGTTGCGTCAACATTATGCACTGTAATGAACATGGAAAACTCTTTCAATTTGTAAATTAATTGATATACAGGATGTTTTATAATTTAAATTATATTATGTAAATTGTGACGAAAAAAAGTATCGTAAAGTTTTGAATTATTCTTTTTTTGCGAAGTTTAAAAAAAGGAATTCTAATATAAAATATATAATCAGGGTTATTTATCTGATAAACATATCTAAGTGAATATGTATCTTATTGTATATATATATATATATATATATATATATATATATACATATATATATATATTATAGCGATTAAATGCACTAGTGCGCACTGAATGCATATAAAGGTTTATCAGTCACAAGTTTACAATGACAAAAATAATTAAAAAAAAAAAAATAAAAAATAGTATAAGAGTTATTATTATAATTATTCAATATAAATAATAATATAATAGCTTTTACTATTAATATTATTTTATTTTTTTAATTATTTATGTCATTGTAAAATTGTGTGCAATAATCTTTATGTGCACTCAGTGCGCACTAATGCATCCAATCGAATTCGCTATTAGTTAGTTGGGCAAGGTTGTCAGTTGTCGAGTTAGATACTATTCGGCGCATTTTGTTTTATTGATGTATATATTTGTGTAAAAAATAGAACAAATAAGATAATTTTATTTAAAAATTGTTAATTTTAAATAAAATTTTTTATTTTTATTTAAAATTTTTTCTTTTTTGAGCATCCTAAAACAATTTTTCAAAACTTTTAATTTTTTTACAAGTAATATAACACTAATATTTATTTTATTAGCGCAAATAAAAAACATGTTGTATATTTTTAAACTATCATAACTTATCATTTATTTGGTTAAATTATGACAAACATATACCTAATGGCAAAATTCTCTTTGTCAGTGCTTTAGTACCATTTTTTTTAGTACAATTGAGAGAAGGAGTGTTATATGAAAAGTATAATTTATTTTCTTAAACTCTTAAATTTACAACGTATTTCCATTTTTAAATTTATTATTCAAAGTAACCTAAATTTAAAAAAATTAAACAGGAACCGTAATAGAGAGATATTAAAGTATTAGTAAATTTAACATACGTATTATAATATTATTTTTTATTTGAAAAAATAATACTTGTGTGAAAATAATTATATTACTGCAACATAAAATAATTACGACAATTATTACAATTGGATTTTCATAATATTAGAAATTGTCTGATGTAACAAGACATATACGTATTTCTATTCCTTCTTCTATATCTTCAGTTTTATATACTGAGTTCAAAAAATAATTAAATATATATTGTAGAATAAAATATTTCTGTTTTAGTACTCTCAAACCGAAATTCGTGATTCATTAAGTTAATTTTTTAAGTTAATTTTTAAGTCGAAGCAAGCTCTCATATTTGAGATTTGTAAAAAAATAGAGATTGCGATACATTTAGCTTATTATATTTGTCGAAATTATACAATTTAATTATAATAAATACTATAATTTGACATAAATATATATACAGTACATTTTACAAAATATTTGAATTAAATGTATTAATTGACAAAAAAGTATATTTTTATTTCATTATATATTGTATATTTATATATTGTAAAATTTTGACGTGTAAATATGATGTACATAGTCTGTATACAATTAAAAAGTTTGTATTAAATTTGACAGATATCACATGTCTTAAACGGTTCATACACAGAAATTTTAGTGTTTTTAATATAATATCAAATTTAATATATAATTTAGATGTGTTAGATAGAGACGTAAATACTGCGTTAATACTTAACACAAAATAATTGCAAAATCTTCAAGTAATTTAAAATAAATTGTGTAAAATAACATATAGTTTTAATGTTCCAATTAACTAAAAATATGTTAATTTTAGATTTTATTATTCTCATTTATATTATAAAATTTAAAATCAACATTTTTTTTTGTAAATTTTACCAAATAAATCTTGTGAATCAACATTTTTTTCTGCAAATTGTAACAAATAAATTTTGTCACTAATAAAACAAAACATATTTATTGTGTAAAATTGAAAATAAATGCACAATATGTTATTTCTACATCTTTTTTCAATTGTTTAAATAATTTAACATTTGAGTTTAATTAACACAATATCAATATGTTAAATTAATACATGAATGTGTTAAATATTTAACACCAAAATGCTCGTTATTTTATAGGTAAAATCGATCGTATATCAAAAAATGTATCTTCGATTTTATTGATTCATCCTGAATCATTTTGACACTTTTCTGCAGTTTTCTATATTCTCAGGTTTTTTTAATTTTTAATTTTCTATCACAAATTAAATATTCATGTAAGCGAATGTAAGAAACTCTCATAAAGCAAAGTTTACTGAAGAGGACATTCTCGCGAGTGCAATTTTCCGTTTATTTGAATAAATTATGATAAATATAATAGAAAAATACTTTTTATCGAAACTTTCAATAAATTCGATAAATCCAATATCCATATCATGGTCAAATATAAATTAAAGTTCAGAGTCTGATATAATTATATAATTTTTTTCATTAACAGAATTACAAGTTTTTATTTTATACATAAAGTTTGCACGAATATATATTTATTTTTCTTTATATATATATATATATATATATATATATATGTATTATGATGTACCTATAAAATGATATGAATATTGTATAATAATATATAAATAAATGTATAATTGTTTGCATTAATTTTAAAGGATACATTTTGATATTTTATTTATGTGTATACCTATCCGTGAGTGAGTGTGTTTGCTTTTGTGTGCATATGTAATGATTATCGATAGTTCAAAACGATTCGATTTTTTGAAACCGTCTGTTAAAAGATTTCCATAAATTCTACCTTTTACGAAAATTACTGTTTAAAGTTTAAAGCATATTTCATCCTTTAAAGTATACTTATGTATTTCGACTTTATTCTTGTATTTAAATTTATCGATTTTTCGCGAAGGCCATGCAGCGGCTTCTTCCGACTGTTTATGCTTTTTCTGGTGCTCGCGCGTCTTATCGCGCGTCTCGCCGAGCCACACAACTTTCAAATTAGCTGACGAGTCCTTCACTTCGATAGTCGTCAAAACCGAACACTCAGCTATCGACCGTTCGATCCAGATTGTCTTGTCGCTTTTCGCACGCAAATTATTCAGTCGCGAGTTTTCTTTTGTATTTCAGATTATTTTGCTATTTCTAGTGCAATAAAACTCTTAAAATAAAACTCTTTCTTTTTCATAAAATCAATAGTTTAAAAAAAAAATTATAATTTAATTTTTATTTCTATCTTTAGAAAATAAGTATAATTCCTCAAAGAAGGATGTAAATATTCCTATATACTTATATAAGAAACTCCTTAATTAATAATTTTTTGATATAATTATTTAAAATTAATACACACAAAAACAAGCACATCTATATGTGTCTAGTGTTGCTCTATGTGTATTTTATTGTTTTTCCAATGTCTCATGGAAACGTGATAAATGTACATACCTTTTTTTTTAAAGTGCAAAAACATTATACGAATTTTTTAAAAATGTTGCTATGAAATCAAGATATTGTAGATAACAATTTTGTTTCTATTTTTACTTTCACCTTTTTTTGTTAGTTACATTATATATAGTTTCAATAATTTTTATTTAGTCGTATCCCGTGAACTAAATATGTTGCTGACTGAGTTACCATTCAAAAATAAGACCCAGTCATTTATCGCGTTATTTTCGGCTGTGCAAGATTCCGAAACCTGGCAAATTAATAAAAATATTGACGGATTGATCAAAAGATTGACGACCTCAACAGAAAGCAAGAAGGAGTTTTATAAAATGCTAAGTAACATAAAGTCATCTACGAAAAAATTAGAAAATATTAAATATCTAGATCACTTCAAACTTGAGCACGTATTGCAGATCGAGAATCTGTTTAGCTATTTAAATTTTGAATCAATATTGGAACCCCACGGAGTCGATCTACATACTTTCACTCATTTAAATCCAAAACTTGGCGGTGTTAAGCACCGTACTTATATCAAAGTGACAGAGGATCTTATCACCGCCAGCACAGTTAACGTGTTCTTTACCAAATTTGGAGGATGCTTTAATAATTTCAAAAAACTTGATAGAAACATTAAATTCAACCATTCGTTTGTTTGGATGATCTATGACAGATTTGTTCACGCCATTCTTTTCATCGGTATTATCAATAAAGTTAAATAAAAATGTTAGGATCTCCAGCTGACACTTGTTAATCTTTTTCTTCGGCAGTTTGATTTTTAAATATAGTTAAAATGACATAAAAAAATAATATTTTTTATAATTTTACAATATATTTTATAAGAGTCAATTTTCAAATATATAAATTGTAATTATATAAATGCTTAATTTAAACTATATATATATATCTTGAAATTTTATATTAGACTTAATTATAAAAAATTGTACTTTTGTGATGAGTATAATAAATTGAGAAACATTTGAACGTCATTATATGTTTACTGAGAAAATGTATCTTGACCTAAACTGATTGTAAGTGTTTTTATTAATTTTATTCTTCACAAAATTTACACTTACAATGTAAAAATGTTTGAGCAATTTGAAATGGTATAAACATTGATATAATTTAGAATTAATCTCTATATATAATTGTTAGTAAAATAACAAATTTGAGAGATTTAATTTCTCGGACCAGTTATTTTGTACGAGTAGGAACAACTAAAAAATTTATTATGTGTATAATATATATAACCAAATTTATAGTTATAAATGTATGGAATTTTAAATACTAATAAATTATTTAATAAATAATTATTTTTTTATATTATAAAGAAATACAGATATTCATTTAGTAGAATATAAGTTGTTAATTAATTAAATAATTATAGCATTAATAAAAATGTACATGCTTTGATCCAGATAGAAAAATTTCTTTCTTAAAATAAAAGTCGCACAGTTCTAGATTTTATATTTGAAATATTCAGATATACTGAAAAAATAAAATTATTTTATATTCGACTCAAGTGTACAAAAATTACATTTTGATTTAGCAGCATTCTACAAAATATACTAGTAAATCTGTAGGTGCTAATATTATGATCAAATACATTAAAATTAAAATTTGTATGGCTTTATGTATTTATACGCAAGCAATATTTTTAATGCGATCAATCTTTATCTCCAAAAACTACAATCGTTATATTTTAATTCTGTATTTAATTTTACTTTTTATATAGATTAATTTGAATAAAGTAAATTTTCTATTTTAAAATTTAACGAAGATTCTGTCTGCACGAATAATTTAACTAAGACAAATCAGATATGATCGAAATTTTCTTAACTGTGGAAAAATAAAATACTTCACAAATAATTTCTTAATTTCAGAAAACATTTAGTCATCCCTTCCGGTTATTCCAACGATACTGATATTATACTAATGATAAATTGTTGGCTTTACCAATACGAAATATGTGAACAACGTGAACATTACGACGTTGCAAAACATATTCAAAAAATACGACAGCGTCTAGCGCCATTGATATAATAACAAATGAACGTTTTCTCCTGATGTTTCCTTCCTGAATTAAATAAATGCTGTAACTCAATAAAAACATTGTCTCGTACATATTTTATGATTTAAGTATTATAAGATACAAATCTATAACAGGAAGAACACAGAAAAATTTTACATAATATATGTTAATAGTTAAATGTACACATTACGAATTAAGTAATAACGTTCTATTATTTTTCTCTGTTTTAACTTACTATATTGTAGCCCTAAATTATATTTTTCATAATGCACATTAATTATATCCTCTTCACGCACCATTTTTTTATTTGCTAAAGATTGATAAAAATAAAAAAGGAAATGCAGCATTTAATCAATGTATTCTTTCATATACTTTTCTATTCCTGATACTTTTATTCTATTTTGGCATATAAAAAATTACACAAGCGTATGTATATTTAACATGCGCATATTTATACAATAATTACATCTAGCTAATAAAACACTTTCAATTTCAGTATTAATGCTACATGATTAAATTGTAACTTAAAATAGATTTTAATATATATATATATATATATATATATATAATAGCAATAAACAATTTTTAAAAATAATAAATATTTCTTTTTATTATTAAAAATAACGCAAATATTTATCATCTGTATATCTAGAGCTATTAAATATTGATTATAATTAATCATAAATTTAAATTTTAAAACGAACTAATTACTAAAAAAGGAATTATTAATAAATACTTAATTCTATTTGTAGACGCCTTCGAACACAAAGATATATCCATAGGACAAAATTATTTCACACTCGGTTCGATTACCTGTGCACGAATTACATTTGATAGTAACGTTGTTAATAACTACAGCAAAATCATAATTGTTAATATTGTGATTAAATTAATTAAATAAGAGTCTTGTGTGTGCTTTATCAAATCACATGTTTGATTTTAATTTTCTGTATAAACAAAATGGAACTAAATATTTAAATTAATGGGTCTAAAAATTCTTTTATAGAAGTGTAAATTTGTTGTCAATTTACCGAATAGATAATGATTTAAAATATACGTATTTTATTTGTGGTATTATTTTACATATTGTTAAGTATATTTATATTTCGATTAATTTAATAATCATCACTTGACAAGTCTTAAAATTTGGTAGTTGAAAAATACTCTAGAATCACGTACTTGTTTTGAAATCTGCTAGTTTTATTTATATTTTTTAATTATTTTGCATTTTAGATACAAAATAAATTTAAAAATATATGTTTGTTATACTTACATCATAATTTCCTTATAGTTAAATATAAAATATAAAATATTAAATTATATAAAATGTTAAATCATTATTAAATTTTATCGATACTAATACATCGACTTCGAATTGTGCATTTATTCTATTTGCCAGAATAAAATACCGCTTTTCAAGTTCGTTAAATATTAAATAAAGTTCAAATGTATTCATGTTAATAAACATAGATAAAACTACATTCGTAAATCTCCCTTTTTTATTACTATTACGTATCATTAATTTTTTACTTCGAATATATGATTAAATTTAAAGTGTAAAAATATATTTTTGATATAAGCATATAAATTGTCGAATAAATTTTACATTTTACTTCGCATTTAACATATGTTTGATTATATATATTGTCAAATATTAATTCATTAATTTCAATTCTAATTTATTGTAATTTTTGATTAATAGTAACATAATGTTACACATTTATATTATACATGTGTTTTTAAAAAACTATAATCTTATATCAACATTATTTGTTATTATTTGAAATGTGCTTACAACAATAAGAGAATTGATTACTGTCATATTAAAAATAATATATTATTATTGGATTATATATAAGCATATATGTGTTTTAACGATTTCTTCCTAAAATATTTTCCTAAAACTGTTTGACATTGTATTATATATTTAAATTAAGCCAAGATTGTGAGATAATGTTATATATATATATATATATATATATATATATATATATATATATATATTCTGAGACGACATCAGTCACAACTGAGACGTAAAAGTGATAGTTTACAAGAAATGTAAACATTGCTTTTTGTGTGCGATAACGTGTATATTTTATGTTTCTTGTCTTGCTACGTTATACAGATGTAATAGTTCAAAATTTATAAGAACCCTTTAGTGCGTTTGTAAAAGAGTTACAAAAATTTAATTATCACTTTACCATTTAACGTTACATCAGTTTTGTGAAGAAGTGATATTTCTATTTATAAGAAAGATGATTAATTTTAAAATTTCCACACCAGGCAGAATCATTCTATCCGGAGAGCACTCGGCGATGTATGGAAAACGTTTTGTCACAGCAAGCTTAGATCTTCGTACCAAACTGGAATTTTGGGAGCTACCTCATCCGAGAGACATCAGGATAGAATTCCCTAATGTTGATCTAAAGTTGGATATACCTTTCGAAAAGATTCAAAGGTTCTTTTCTGAAGAAGAGAAAGTAAAATCAGATCCAATCTGCATTCTTAAAAACGTGAAATCCTTGATTACTTTAAACGGTATGTGGAAAACATACGAGCAGAGATCTAGTTTAATAATATGCTTTTTCTGCTTTATATGATCGCTATCCAGCAGAATTTAAATATAACACCTTTTCACGTGCGAGTGTCTACGGAAATACCTATCGGCGCCGGTCTTGGCGGTTCGACATCTTTCGCGGTATGTCTGGCAGCGTGTTTTTTATACTGGAAGAATCTACAGTCGGAAAATCCAATTGAATTTGATCATGATCTTCTTTTGGAGTGCGTTAAAATTTATGCTAAATTTTACGAGGAATTGCAAGACAACGAATGCGCGTCGGTCGATACCAGCGTTTGCATATTCGGCAATATAATAAAAGGTCAACTTATCAATCACACAGAAAATCTAGAGTGCAACTATATAACAAGAATGAAGATATTGCTGATTGACTCAAATATTCGCCAGGAAAAGTGGACTCGAGCGAAACAAATGTCAACGTTGAAAGCTGAAACTCCTCTCGAGCTTGAGCCTATATTAAATACGTTAGACAACGTAACAATACAAATGTATGATTGGCTCCACTTAATAAACAATAGACGCGAAGATCCCAATTTGGTTAATTATTATCGGCGTAACAATTCAGTACAGGTATCATTTATGTTTTTATTAAACGGTATTATTATTTTATTATACATATATATATATTTATAATTAATTATTGTTAATAATAAATATTAATAATAAATATTTATAATTAATTTTAATAATAAATAATAATATTAATATTAATAATAATAATAATAATAATAATAATAATAATAATATATTATTAATAAATATTACTAATAAATATTTATAATTAGTTTTAATAATGAATGATAATAATACTAATAATAATAATAATAATAATAATAATAATATTATTATATTAATATATAAATATAAATATATATATATATATATATATATACATATACATTTTTAGCCTTGCTGCTGCGTTAACAAGATTGTCTAGTACATATATTTATCTGTTAAAATTATTATAAAGGAAAAAAAATATAGTATATACTGTTTTCTAACATTTTTCATGTTTTGCAGCGATCCTTCCAACTGATTCACTTATTATTGAAGCAATATAATTTATCGAATGAGATCTTCAATCGTATTTGTGAAACTGCGAACAATTTTGGATTCGAGGGACTTATAGGTTTTGGAACTCGATATGTATACATTTTAATACCACCGAGCATTACAAACGACGAAATCGAGGAAATATCGATGGTATTAAAATTTAAAAATTTTGATGTTATAAATACTAGCATCAGTTGTGAGGGAATGAAACTTGACGAATGATTAATCTAAAATTATCGATTATTATGTATAAATGACTAATAATAAGTATATTATGTATAAATGACAAATGACTAAATGTAAGAAATATGTGACATAAGATTATTAGCTTGATCACTACTTAATCACTTAATTAATAGTAGTTTCAAGAAAGTAGGACTAACAATTATATATTAATTTGTTTAATATAAATATTCTATTGCTTAAAGATAGCATTCTTTTTATGTTGTATTGAATTATGAAATTAAAAGCGAGAAATTATTGAGAAGTTTTTATGTAAAATATTTAAAAATATATTACTTTTTTTTATTTTTTAATTTATTTTACATTGAAAATATAATTGATCATAATGTTGCGTCAACATTATGCACTGTAATGAACATGGAAAACTCTTTCAATTTGTAAATTAATTGATATACAGGATGTTTTATAATTTAAATTATATTATGTAAATTGTGACGAAAAAAAGTATCGTAAAGTTTTGAATTATTCTTTTTTTGCGAAGTTTAAAAAAGGAATTCTAATATAAAATATATAAACAGGGTTATTTATCTGATGAACATATCTAGGTGAATATGTATCTTATTATTATATATATATATATATATATATATATATATATATACATATATATATATTATAGCGAATTCGATTGGTTGCACTAGTGCGCACTGAATTCATATAAAGATTTATCAGTCACAAGTTTACAATGACAAAAGTAATTAAAAAAAAAATAATTAATAGTATAAGAGTTATTATTATAATTATTCAATATAAATAATAATATAATAGCTTTTACTATTAATGTTATTTTATTTTTTTAATTATTTATGTCATTGTAAAATTGTGTGCAATAACCTTTATGTGCACTCAGTGCGCACTAATGCATCCAACCGAATTCGCTATTAGTTAGTTGGGCAAGGTTGTCAGTTGTCGAGTTAGATACTATTTGGCGCATTTTGTTTTATTGATGTATATATTTGTGTAAAAAATAGAACAAATAAGATAATTTTATTTAAAAATTGTTAATTTTAAATAAAATTTTTTATTTTTATTTAAAATTTTTTTTTTTTTGAGCATCCTAAAACAATTTTTCAAAACTTTTAATTTTTTTACAAGTAATATAACACTAATATTTATTTCATTAGCGCAAATAAAAAACATTTCGTATATTTTTAAACTATCATAACTTATCATTTATTTGGTTGAATTATGACAAACATATACCTAATGGAAAAATTCTCTTTGTCAGTGCTTTAGTACCATTTTTTTTAGTACAATTGAGAGACGGAGTGTTATATGAAAAGTATAATTTATTTTCATAAACTCTTTAATTTACAACGTATTTCCATTTTTAAATTTATTATTCAAAGTAACTTAAATTAAAAAAATTAAACAGGAACCGTAATAGAGAGATATTAAAGTATTAGTAAAGTTAGCATACGTATTATAATATTATTTTTTATTTGAAAAAAATAATACTTGTGTGAAAATAATTATATTACTGCGACATAAAATAATTACGACAATTATTACAATTGGATTTTCATAATATTAGAAATTGTCTGATGTAACAAGACATATACGTATTTCTATTCCTTCTTCTATATCTTCAGTTTTATATACTGAGTTCATAAAATAATTAAATAATTAGAATAAAATATTTCTGCTTTAGTACTCTCAAACCGAAATTCGTGATTCATTAAGTTAATTTTTTAAGTTAATTTTTAAGTCGAAGCAAGCTCTCATATTTGAGATTTGTAAAAAAATAGAGATTGCGATATATTTAGCTTATTATATTTGTCGAAATTATACAATTTAATTATAATAAATACTATAATTTGACATAAATATATATACAGTACATTTTACAAAATATTTGAATTAAATGTACTAATTGACAAAAAAGTATATTTTTATTTCATTATATATTGTATATTTATATATTGTAAAATTTCGACGTGTAAATATGATGTATTGTACATATTCTGTATACAATTAAAAAATTTGTATTAAATTTGACAGATATCACATGTCTTAAACGGTTCATACACAGAAATTTTAGTGTTTTTAATATAATATCAAATTTAATATATAATTTAGATGTGTTAGATAGAGACGTAAATACTGTGTTAATACTTAACACAAAATAATTGCAAAATCTTCAAGTAATTCAAAATAAATTATGTAAAATAACATATAGTTTTAATGTTTCAATTAACTAAAAATATGTTAATTTTAGATTTTATTATTCTCATTTATATTATAAAATTTAAAATCAACATTTTTTTTGTAAATTTTAACAAATAAATCTTGTCAATCAACATTTTTTTCTGCAAATTGTAACAAATAAATTTTGTCACTAATAAAATAGAACATATTTATTGTGTAAAATTGAAAATAGATGCACAATATGTTATTTCTACATCTTTTTTCAATTGTTTAAATAATTTAACATTTAAGTTTAATTAACACAATATCAATATGTTAAATTAATACATAAATGTGTTAAATATTTAACACCAAAATGCTCGTTATTTTATAGGTAAAATTGATGGTATATCAAAAAATGTATCTTCGATTTCATTGATTCATCCTGAATCATTTTGACACTTTTCTACAGTTTTCTATATTCTCAGGTTTATTTTTAATTTTTAATTTTCTGTCACAAATTAAATATTCATGTAAGCGAAGTTTACTGAAGAGAACATTCTCGCGAGTGCAATTTTCCGTTTATTTGGATAAATTATGATAAATATAATAGAAAAATACTTTTTGTCGGAACTTTCAATAAATTCGATAAATCCAATATCCAGATATCATGGTCAAATATAAATTAAAGTTCAGAGTCTGATAAAATGATATAATTTTTATCATTAACAGAATTACAAGTTTTTTATTTTATACATAAAGTTTGCACGAATATATATCTATTTTTCCTTTATATATATATATATATATATATATATATATATATGTGTATCATGATGTACCTATAAAATGATATGAATATTGTATAATAATATATAAATAAATGTATAATTGTTTGCATTAATTTTAAAGGATTAATTTTGATATTTTGTTTATGTGTATACCAATCCGTGAGTGAGTGTGTTTGCTTTTGTGTGCATATGTAATGATTATCGATAGTTCAAAACGATTCGATTTTTTGAAACCGTCTGTTAAAAGATTTCTATAAATTTTACTTTCTACGAAAATTACTGTTTAAATCTTAAAGCATATTTTATTCTTTAAAGTATACTTATGTATTTCGACTTTATTCTTGTATTTAAATTTATCAATTTTTCGCGAAGGCCATGCAGCGGCTTCTTCCGACTGTTTATGCTTTTTCTGGTGCTCGCGCGTCTTATCGCGCGTCTCGCCGAGCCACACAACTTTCAAATTAGCTGACGGGTCCTTCACTTCGATAGTCGTCAAAACCGAACACTCAGCTATCGACCGTTCGATCCAGATTGTCTTGTCTCTTTTTGCACGCAAACTATTCAGTCGCGAGTTTTCTTTTGTATTTCAGATTATTTTGCTATTTCTAGTGCAATAAAACTCTTAAAATAAAACTCTTTTTATCAAATCAATAGTTTTTATAAAAATTGAAATTTAATTTTTATTTTCATTTTTAGAAAATAAGTATAATTTCTCAAAGAGGGATATAAATGTACCTATATACTTATATAAGAAACTTCTTTAATTAAAAATTACCATATATAAATGTTGTAACTCAATAAATGTTTCCTACATATCTATAAGTATTATAAGATACGAATTTATAACAGGAAGAATACAGTAAATGTTTTACATAATATATATACTAATCGTTAAATATACCAATTGCGACTTAAGCGATTACGTTTTATATTAACATAGTAGAGTCAAGTTTCTTATGTGTTGAGCATGATTTTCTCTGTTTTAACTTAATATTGTAGCTTTGAATTATTTTTTCAATAATGTACTTTAACTGTATTCGTTTCACACATCATTTTTTCTATCTACTAAAGATTGTAAAAATAAAAAATAGCATTTACTCTGTGTACTCTTTTTATATACCTTTATTCTTATCATATTACTTTTATTGTATTTTGATATATAAAACAATTACAAAGCATATATATATATATATATATATATATTTATATTTCACATGCGCATATTTATATAATAATTACATTTAGCAAAAACTTTCAATTTTAATATAATTAATGCTACATATTATTAAATTGTAAATTAAATATATGTTTTTATAAACCTGCAAAACATGAAATAATATTTAATAGTATCTAATAAATTATTTTATTCCTTTGAAATAATTTACGGAATAAACATATTCGAAGAATATCTTGAACATTCTTAGAAATAAGTCGAATATTCTTTGAAAATTAAGCTTTTCATGGTTGGCTTCTTGCGCAGAATCGTCGTTAGCCAATTAGAAATCAGAACGAGAACATGTGATTCTAACAATATTTCTTCTTCTTTCACTAAATGAAATTCCCTAACACCACTCACCAATTCGTTAAAATTGGTTTATCATCAGCATTTCTCTCAGTTCACGTGATAGAATCCAAGCAGCAACTTTGTCATTATAAACCACGATGTCAGAAAATTATAAGACAATTGGTGAGTTAATAGTATATTAGCTGACAAGTGCGGGAAATCGTAAATCGGCCGAGAGTGCGGAAGTTTGGCGCACGAAACGAAGCCGAGTGACATTTCGCACTCTCGGCCGATTTATGACCCGCACATGTTGATTACGATATTTTGTGTGCGTGGAGAGGGAGCCCTTTCTAAAATTCCATCATGCGTAAGGGAGACTTTTCGCGCGCCGGTTGCACAAAAAATAATATATTATAAAGTAACACAAGTCTGTCGCCAATTTATCTCGCGTATATAACAATTTAATTAATAATAATAATAATAATATTTTAAATAACAAATATTTGTTGTTTACGCAAATATTTATAATTTATATTATTTTATATAAAGTTTTTGGATAATTTAGCTTAACAATAGTCATATAATAAGTTTTGCGATCCGTTGGATTCAATTATTCTAGAATCATGTGTTTGATTTTGAGGTCTGTTAGCATTGATTATAATTTATCGATACACAATAATTCGAAGGGCTTATGTAGATATATTAGTAAACATGAGCAGATATTATACAATGTCTTTCGGATATTGTTATTTAATATTTTGCAAAATTATAAAATATTTTCTATCGCATCTTTTTTCTATAAATATTGCAATTTATTTATATTTCTCTCAAAAACATCTAAATAATTTTTTAAGATATACATAGTTGCAAATATTTTATTATATATTTTAACAAATTTAAAATTAAATTGAGAATTGTTGAAAAACAAATCATTGTCTTGCAAATTACTTGTCAAATAAATTCAATGCCAATTAAGTAGTATATTGAATTTAATTTGATTTTGATGAGATTGTAGAATAAATTATGACTTTCAGTTTGTAATATCCCTATTTACTACCTTTGTCAGTTTAGCTTAATCATAACTTTTTGGTTCTTCATGTTTAGTAACACCAATAAGAAGTTTTAAATTCAACCTTAAATGTCTGCAGAAAATGATTTGCATAATGCCACGGAAAGATTTTGTCTTCAGTTCGACTAGTTTATATGAGGAACTTATGATGGTTTATCGCGCATCCAGCGATGAGACCAAGGAACAGTTAAAAAGTATTCTCCTATTACCGATACATCTTGGAACAAATTTCTGGGCATTAGACAAAATAGTGGAGGAAAGAGAGAAGATACGGGAGAAGGAAAAAAAGGAAAATACGGTAAAAATATTTGTGCCTGATTTATATTTAATATTCCTTAAAATGTTTATCAACGACTTATCTCAGAAATTTAAGTTAATGTAAGAACATTTTTGCACAGCTTATATAATTTGACCTATTATTACATGCGCGATCAATGAATATTAAAATATTTATATAATATTATAACACAATGAAACTCAGATCATTCTTGCTTATTTTTAGTTTTTCGGGTAGCTTTGTATAAAATTACGCAACTGATTGAGACTAACTGAAAATATTAATAATTTTAATAATTTGTTAAATAATTTATTTAGCGGGACCAAAATTACAAATGCATTTTTATGAGAAACAGAAAGTCAAATATTAAAAACTTTATTTTCAATTTAATTTTGTCATTGAGCAAATTTTGAACAATAATATGTATATAAATAAAAATTAGTATAAATATTGCCTTATTAATCAAAATAGTTCAATTTAAAATACATAAATATCTTGATAAGATAAAAATTTTGTTAAATTATAATATTACATAATATTATATAATTTAATATTAGACTAAAATATAAAACAAATGATTATGTGAAATAATATTGTATATTTAATATAAAATTCTACTTTTAAAAATAAATTTATGTAATCTAAAGATAAAGTCTTTTATTTAAAAGAAAAGAAGATAAAATCAAAAATTGTTTTATATTTATTGTTCCAGGTTAATGCGATGAACGTTTGTTGCAGAGAGCGTTGTTGTTGGATTAAAGACACCAAATGTTACAAAAAAAACAACCATTTAACTCCTGAAAATTGCAGATTGTTTGATCATTCCAATATTCCTAATGTAATGAATGATATTAATGAAGTATTGAAAAACGAGATGCAGGGTTACATCCCTCAACCTGTGGTATTTAACTCATTCAATAACAATATGGAATTTATTCTTTCGTACGGACTGCGGCTTGAAATCCAATCACCTATCGACGTAAACTATATTACCTGTAAATATATCATTTTAATTTTATTTTACATGTGTGTGTATTTCAAATCCCTCTAATCTAAATCAATTATTGAAATTGTTTAAACTAATTTCATAATCAGTTTATATTATTAAATATTATATACTATCATCTTTACGAAATACATAACATTAGTAATATATATTTACTAATATTTTATTTTATAGATGACGTTTTATATAAAAATTTATAATAATAATTTTAATTTAATAGAAATGTTAGCATGATAAAACATTTTCTACAGTTGATTAAAAGTAAACATAAACACACGTACACACATGTACATTTCTCTAATTTATATAAATTTATATATATTATTTCTAAATTTTCAATATATGATCACAATGTGATTAAGTCAATACATTTTTATCTTGAGAGTGTAAGAAACATTATACGGATTTTAAAAATTGATATAAACAAAAATAGTTTATGCAGTAATATAATTCCGCTTCTATTAACTTTTATCACTTTTTTCTATAGTCTTACAATTTTTTTCAGACATATCTCGCAAATTCGGCATGTTCGTGACTAAGATAGTATTAACTTCCGAGACGTCGCTGTTCGCATTATTTCCAGCTGCTCAGGAATTAGCAAGATCTAATATATGGAAAATTGATGAAGATATTTCTGGATTGGTCGAAAGATTGGCAACAAAAGAAGGAACCGAAATGTTCCATGAAATACTGTCTGAAAATACATCATTGGAAAAGTTGCCGGAAGAAGATACAATATACCCCAATTACTTCGAACTGGAGCACAAATTGCCAATCGATCAGTTGTTGGAAATGTTGGATATCAAACATGTATTGAGTCCAGAGAAAGCCAGCCTGTTTGGTTTTACTGAAGAAAATCTGCATCTCGGCGGTGCGAATCATCGTGCATATATCAACTTTACACCAAGAAATGTTACTGCTAATGCAGTTAATATATTCTATACCGAATCTGGAGGGTCCCTTACATCAATGCCAGAACATAACAATTGTACTAAATACGAAAATTCGTTTGTCTGGTTGTTGTGTAACAAAGAATATATTCTTTTTACTGGCGTTGTCAATAAAAATTGTTAGGTGACTTCCTCTTCAGCTTCTGTTTGAATTATTTTTAAAACAAAGTAGTACAACGAAATTTCTTTATAGTTTCGTGAGGTATTTCTAATATCTTGCAAGTATCAGTTTTGTAAAATAAATATTAATAATTCAAGAACTTAATTTTGTGAGAACATTATGTGTTCGAGATAACATTTAAAATTAATATAAAATTTTCGTGTTATATAAACTTTGACATTGTCACATATGATTACAATTGAATAACTGTTGCGATAGATTTATTGTTAACGTTTATTTTATTCTTCATTTTATTTTATTCATTAAAATTCACACTTGGCAAGATATAACTTACTATATGTCGTATAAAAAAATCAAGAAACAAATTCCATATAACGATAATATATAATTTATATTGCGATATAATTTATTAAATTATCTCTTTAAAATAGACTGTGAAATAATGTGAAAAAAACCTTTTTGTCATTTTAGTTGTTGACACAAATTATTTTGTACTAATTTTTGTACTGGAACGGTTGTTTGTCATTTCTATCATAAATATAATTCAATTTACTGTTTTAAATGCATATGTAGCTTTATATAGTAGCAATAAATAATTCCTAAAAAACAATTTATTATATCTTTTTATTATTAAGAATAATGCAAATATTCATCATCTATATATCTAGAGCTATTAAATGTGGATTATTTTAACTATAAGTTTAAATTTTAGAACAAATTATTTACTAGTAAATAAATTATTAATAAATAATTAATAAATAATAAATTAGTATATTTAAATTAATAAATATTTTGTTTGTAGACATCTTCCAATACTAACGTATATTTATAAGACAAAATTATTTTACACTCGGCTCGGCTACCAGTGCATAAATTACATTCGATTGAATTAGTTAAATAAGAGAATTGTGTGTGCTTTATCAAACAACGTGTTTGTTCCTACTTTTCTGATCGTATAAACAAGAAGTGGAACTAAATATTCAAATTGATGAGTTTAAAAATTCTTTTCTAGAAATGTAAATTTCCTGTCGATTTTCGAATAAATAATGATTTAAAATATACGTATTTTACGAGTATATGTGGTATTATTTTATATATTGCCAAGTAAATTTATATTTCGATTAATTTAATGATCATTACTTGGCAAGTCTTAAAATTTGATAGTTGAAAGTACTCTAGAATTGCGTACTTGTTTTTAAGGGGATAAAACTAACAACTTGTATTTAATTTTTTATCAAAACTTTTTAACGGACCGAAATATGATCATCTAAAAATATGCGTTAAAAAGTTTGATTTCTTTAGAAACTTTTTTATTTATTTAATTTCTTTTTCAATCAATAGTTAAAATCAATAGTTTTTAAAAAAATTAAAATAAAAATTTTATTTCTATTTTTGAAAAATAAGTATAATTCCTCAAAGAGGGATATAAATGTACTTATATAATTATACAAGAAACTCCCTTAACTTTTTACAAAGAATCATCTCCTAAAATTTTTCGCACTTATTTAAATGCGCTCGGTATATATATTATATAAATTTTCAAAAGTGCTTGCTATATTTTATATACAAGCTCCGATTTTTTATCCACTGACCTTTCTTTTTCTTATTTTTTTCTGGATCATTTTTGTTTTATCTTTTTCGATTCTCCATTTTTTCAAGCGTAAAGTACGACCTGGACTTGCACATAAGCGAGTTACACTGCAATGAAATCTTGTCGATGTTCGTGTTGTTATCGGAATATTGCACGCGGATGCACAAGCAAGACCACTCTTTTCAGGAAAGTAATATTGTCAACGATTTGACCCAACTGCTCAAACAGATTTCGACCAAGGAGGGAATCCGCAAATTGCGCTGTATTTTAAAAAATAACTCAACCAAGGAAAATTATTTTAATTTCATTATGTGATCGAACTTCGAGATAAAGGAGGAGCTGCTGATCCACGAGCTGTTGACAGCTTTATGTGCCGAAGAATTATTGAATAGCGAAATTCAGATGAGCGATTTTGTGGTGGACGACGATTGCGATTTACACTGGGAAGAAGTATTTTCGGCTGTTCAGCCGTATCATCTATGAATCCAGGAAATCCTACGTTTGGCTAAACTACGACAAGCTGCATCGGAACATCTTCGCCGGGGAACTTAACAAATTCAACGAGTAGGAAACTAATTTGATTGTAGCGATACGGAAATTGAGTTATGGATTTCTTTGAATTTTTTTTGGAGCCATGCACAAGTTGAACCAATGTTCACATTTATAAATAATGACAATGTTCTGAGTAGAAATCTGTAGTCATTAGAAAATAATACGCATACTTCGAAATCTTTAATGAATTGGTTTTTGTGTAATATATACTAATAATAAGAGCAAGTCGTATTAAAAATAAATCTGTTGTTTCTTATCACTTGATATCAATGTTTGCTAACTATTAAATTTATAAGTTTTTAGAAACTTGAGGAAAGAAGTGAAGTTCATGCAATCTTCAAAAATTTCTTAAAAATTTTAAAGTCGATTAATTCGAATAATTGTTATTAATTCAATCTCGCATTTGAGCTTTGTTGTTTTATAAATTCTTAATATTTTAATTAACTTAAAAAGAGGATTTAAAATATTATTTAATAACTTAATAAATGTCTTGTACATATTTTTAAGCTTTAAGTATTAAAAGATCTAGAAACGAATCTATAACAAAATAAAAGAACAAATCTATAACAAAAAAAACACAGAAAATGTTTTGAATAATAAAAATGCTTGCTATTTTATATACAAGTTCCGATTTCTTATCCACTGACCTCCCTTTTTCTTTTTTTTTTCTGGATCATTTTTTTTTAAATATTTTTCGATTCTCCATTTTTTCAGACGTATATTATGACCTGGACACATAAGCGTGTTACACTACAAGACTGAAATCTTGTCGATGTTCGTGTTATTTTTGGAATATTGCACGCGGATGCACAGACATGACCACTCTTTTCAGGAAAGTAATATTGTCAACGATTTGACCCAACTGCTCAAACAGATTTCGACCAAGGAGGGAATCTGCAAGTTGCACTGGAAAGTTAATTCGATCATGGCAATATGGAAATTAAGTTTTGTATATTTTTGAATTTTCTTTTTTTTTTTAGTGCACGAGTTGAACTGATGTTCACTTCTATAAATATGGACAATGTTTTGAGTAGAAATCTGTAGATTTGTAGTCACACACACACACACGCACGCATGCACGCACGCACGCACACGCACACATTTGAAAATAATACGTAATCATCGAAGTTTCTAATGGATTGGATATTGCGTAATATATTCTAATTGTAAAAGCAAGTCGTATTAAAAAGGAATCAGTTCTTTTAGATCGTCGAATTTTAATGTTTCCTAGCTATTAAATTTATAAGGTTTTGGAAGCTTGAGGGAAGGAGTAAAGATCGTGCAATTTTCAAAGATTTCTCAAAAATGTTATAGTCGATTGATTGATTGTTATTAATTTACTCTCGCATTTGAATTTTGTTGTTTTATAATTTCTTGATATTTTAATTAATTTAAAAGAAGAATCTAAAACATAATTCATATTTCTTATGTATTCTATGAAAAATATTTTAAAACGAGATAACGATTCGGTGTCAAAATTCATTTATATATTTATGTACATATGTATTTAGATAATTCTTAAATTTGTAAAATGTAATTGTGCATTGATAATACAACAGGAAAAAATTAATATAAATAAAATAATAATGAATATATAAAATAAGTATGCAAATAAATAAATCATTTTAATGCATATCTTAATATTAAATACCGATATTAATAAAGAATTTTCTCAGTATGTTTTCTCTTCAAAAATACAAACGAGTCGATTACTGAGCTAAAATATTTAATTAGTAATTACATTTATAATTCGCACAATTTGTTAATTAATTTTTAGATTCTCATATCTAGTAGCATACAGATATTTCCTTCTTGAACTAAATAAATTTTTGATTTTAGAAATACCTCCACTGTTATATACATTTTCTGTTTATAATTGTAATCAAAATTTAAAATATTTTTAAAGACTTAAATACAGAAAGTTAGAATATATTCAATTAAGTTAGGAAAAATTAAAAGAATTAATTAACAAATAATACTAATTATACCCAGATAGTCACAGTAATTATTATGACATCATTTTGATGTCATAATAATTACTGTGGCTATCTGGGTAAATTACATATATATGATGTTTAACTCAATAAACGTTTTCTACATATCTATAATTATTATAAGATACGAATCTATAACAGAAAGAACACAGAAAATGTTTTACATAATATATACTAATCGTTAAATATACCAATTACGAATTAAGCGATTACGTTTTATATTAACTTATTGTTAGTGTTAAGTTTCTTACGTGTTGAGCATGATTTTCTCTGTTTTAACTTAATAGTGTAGCTTTAATCTATTTTTTCAATAATGTACTTTAACTGTATTCGTTTCACACATCATTTTTTCTATCTACTATAGATTGTAAAAATAAAAAATAGCATTTATTCTGTGTACTCTTTTCATATACCTTTATTCTTATCATATTACTTTTATTGTATTTTGATATATAAAACAATTACAAAAGCATATATATATATATATATATATATATATATTTCACATGCGCATATTTATATAATAATTACATCTAGCAAAAACTTTCAATTTTAATATAATTAATGCTACATATTATTCAATTGTAAATTAAATAAATGTTTTTATAAACCTGCGAAACATGAAATAATATTTAATAGTATCTAATAGATTAATTGATATTTTCGAAATAATTTACAGAATGATCATATTCGAAGAATATCTCGAACATTCTTAGAAATAAGTCGAATATTCTTTGAAAATTAAGCTTTTCATGGTTGATTTCTCGCGCAGAATCGTCGTTAGCCAATTAGAAATCAGAACGAGAACATGTGATTCTAATAATATTTCTTCTTCTTTCACTAAATGAAATTCCCTAACACCACTCACCAATTCGTTAAAATTGGTTTATCATTAGCATTTCTCTCAGTTCACGTGATAGAATCCAAGCAGCAACTTTGTCATTATAAACCACGATGTCAGAAAGTTATAAGACAAGTGGTGAGTTAATAGTATATTAGCTGACAAGTGCGGGGGATCGTAAATCGGACGAGAGTGCAGAAGTTTGGCGCACGAGGCGAAGCCGAGTGACATTTCGCAGTCTCGGCCGATTTATGACCCGCACATGTTGATTACGATATTTCGTGTGCGTGGAGAGAGAGCCCTTTCTAAAATTCCATCATGCGTAAGGGCGACTTTTCGCGCGCCGGTTGCACAAAAAATAATATATTATAAAGTAACACAAGTCTGTCGCCAATTTATCTCGCGTATATAACAATTTAATGAATAATAATATTAATGTTTTAAATAATAAACATTTGTTATTACGCAAATATTTACTATATATATTGTTTTATATAAAATTTTTGAATAATATAGCTTAACAATAGTCATAAAATAAATTTTGCGATCCGTTAGATTCAATTATTCTAGAATCATGTGTTTGATTTTGAGGTCTGTTAGCATTGATTATATTTTATCGATACACAATAATTCGAAGGGTTTATGTAGATATATTAGTAAACATGGGCAGATATTATACAATATCTTTCGGATATTGTTATTTAATATTTTGCCCTCTTTTCTTCTTTTTTTTTCGGTTGTCTTTTTTATTAATTACTATATATTTATATATATAAAATAAATTAACATTTGATTTCTAGAAATCAATTTAATTGTATTTTGATGAGATATTGTAAAATAAATTATGATTTTCTACTTGTAATATCTATATTTACTGCCTTTGTCAGTTTAGCTTAATTAACACATTTTCGTCTTCCATGTTTATCAACAGTTGTCATCGAAGATATCGATTTCACCTTTCAATGTCTGCAGAAAATTATTCACATAATGCCACGGAAAGATATTGTCTTTAGTTCGAATAGCTTATATGAAGGACTTATGATGGTTTATCGCGCATCCAGCAATGAGACTAAAGAACAATTGAAAAGTATCCTTCAATTACCGATACATCTTGGAACTAAATTCTGGGCATTAGACAAAATAGTGGAGGAAAGAGATAAGATACGAAAGAAGAAAAGAAAGGAAAAGATGGTAAAAAATATTTGTGCCTAATTTATATTTAATATTTCTCAAAATGTTTATCAACGACTTATTTCAGAAATTTAAGTTAATGTAGGAACATTTTTGCACAGCATATATAATTTGACCTATTATTACATGCGCGATCAATGGATATTAAAATATTTATATAATATTATAACACACAATGAAACAGATCATTTCTGCTTATTTTTAGTTTTTCAGATAGCTTTGTATAGAATTACGCAATTGATTAAAACTAACCGAAAATTTTAATAATTTTAATAATTTGTTAAATAATTTATTCAGCGGGACCGAAATTACGAATGCATTTTTAAGAGAAATAGAAAGTCAAGAATTAAAAACTTTATTTTTAACTAAATTTTGTCATTGTGCATATTGAACAATAATATGTATTTAAATATAAAATAGTATATAATTACTACTTTATTAATCAAAATAGTTCAATAACCTAATATACATAAATATGTGGATAAGATAAGGATTCTGTTATATTAAAATATTACATAATATTATATTTAATATTATTAAACTAAAATTTATTATGAAAATGATTATATGAATGAATTTTGTATATATAATATAAAATTCTACTTTTAAAAATAAATTTATGTAATCCATAGATAAAGTCTTTTATTTAAAAGAGAAGAGAATATAATCAAAAATTGTTTTATATTTATTGTTCCAGGTTAATCCGATGTTCCATGCAATGGACGTTTGTTGCAGAGAGCATTGTTGTTGGATTAAAGATACCAAATGTTACAAAAAAAACAACCATTTAACTCCTGAAAATTGCAGATTGTTTGATCATTCCAATATTCCTAATGTAATGAATGATATTAATGAAGTATTGAAAAACGAGATGCAGGGATACATCCCTCAACCTGTGGTATTTAACTCATTCAATAACAATATGGAATTTATTCTTTCGTACGGACTGCGGCTTAAAAGCCACCAAACACCAGTCGCGTATCCCTCTAGCAGTACTACCAGTAAATATGTCATTTTAATTTTATTTTACATGTGTGTGTACTTCAAATCCCTTTAATCTAATTCTATTATTGAAATTGTTTTAACTAATTTCATAATCAATTTATATTTCTAAATATTATATACTATCATCTATATGAAATACATAACATTAGTAATATATATTTACTAATATTTTATTTTATAGATGACGTTTTATAAAACAATTTATAATAATAATTTTAATCTAATAGAAATGTTAGCATGAAAAAACATTTTCTACAGTTGATTAAAAGTAAACATAAACAAACGCACACACATGTACATTTCTCTAATTTATATGAATTTATATATATCATTTCTAAATTTTCAATATATGATCACAATGTGATTAAGTCAATACATTTTTATCTTGAGAGTGCAAGAAACAATATACGGATTTTTAAAAATTGTTGATATAAACAGAAATAGTATATGCAGTAATGTAATTCCGCTTCCATTAACTTTTATTACTCTTTTTTATAGTCTTACAATTTTTTTCAGACATATCTCGCAAATTCGGCATGTTCGTGACTAAGATAGTATTTACAAACGAGATGTTGCTGTTCGCATTATTTCCAGCTGCTCAGGAATTAGCAAGATCTAATATATGGAAAATTGATGAAGATATTTCTGGATTGGTCAAAAGATTGGCAACTAAAGAACAAGCCGAAATGCTCCGTGAAACACTGTTTGAAAATGAATTGGAGAAATTGCCGGAAGAAAATACGATTTACCCCGATAACTTCGAACTGGAGCACGAATTGCCAATCGATCAGTTGTTGGAAATGTTGAATATCAAACATGTATTGAGTCCAGAGAAAGCCAGCCTGTTTGGTTTTACTAAAGAAAATCTGCATCTCGGCGGTGCGAATCATCGTGCATATATCAAGTTCACATCAAAAGACGTTACTGCTAATGCAATTAATATATTCTATACCGAATCTGGAGGGTCCTTTACATCAATGCAAGAACATAACAATTGTACTAAATACGAAAATTCGTTTGTCTGGTTGTTGTGTAACAAACAATATATTCATTTTACTGGCGTTGTCAATAAAAATTGTTAGGTGACTTTCTCTTCAGCTTCTGTTTGAATTATTTTTAAAACAAAGTAATACAACAGAATTTTTTTATAGTCTCGTGAGATATTTCTAATATCTTGTAAGTATCAGTTTTGTAAAATAAATATTAATAATTCAAGAACTTAATTTTGTGAGAACATTATGTGTTCGAGATAACATTTAAAATTAATATAAAATTTTCGTGTTATATAAACTTTGACATTGTCACATATGATTACAATTGAATAACTGTTGCGATAGATTTATTGTTAACGTTTATTTTATTCTTCATTTTATTTTATTCATTAAAATTCACACTTGGCAAGATATAACTTACTATATGTCGTATAAAAAAATCAAGAAACAAATTCCATATAACGATAATATATAATTTATATTGCGATATAATTTATTAAATTATCTCTTTAAAATAGACTGTGAAATAATGTGAAAAAAACCTTTTTGTCATTTTAGTTGTTGACACAAATTATTTTGTACTAATTTTTGTACTGGAACGGTTGTTTGTCATTTCTATCATAAATATAATTCAATTTACTGTTTTAAATGCATATGTAGCTTTATATAGTAGCAATAAATAATTCCTAAAAAACAATTTATTATATCTTTTTATTATTAAGAATAATGCAAATATTCATCATCTATATATCTAGAGCTATTAAATGTGGATTATTTTAACTATAAGTTTAAATTTTAGAACAAATTATTTACTAGTAAATAAATTATTAATAAATATTTAATAAATAATAAATTAGTATATTTAAATTAATAAATATTTTGTTTGTAGACATCTTCCAATACTAACGTTTATTTATAAGACAAAATTATTTTACACTCGGCTCGGCTACCAGTGCATAAATTACATTCGATTGAATTAGTTAAATAAGAGAATTGTGTGTGCTTTATCAAACAACGTGTTTGTTCCTACTTTTCTGATCGTATAAACAAGAAGTGGAACTAAATATTCAAATTGATGAGTTTAAAAATTCTTTTCTAGAAATGTAAATTTCCTGTCGATTTTCGAATAAATAATGATTTAAAATATACGTATTTTACGAGTATATGTGGTATTATTTTATATATTGCCAAGTAAATTTATATTTCGATTAATTTAATGATCATTACTTGGCAAGTCTTAAAATTTGATAGTTGAAAGTACTCTAGAATTGCGTACTTGTTTTTAAGGGGATAAAACTAACAACTTGTATTTAATTTTTTATCAAAACTTTTTAACGGACCGAAATATGATCATCTAAAAATATGCGTTAAAAAGTTTGATTTCTTTAGAAACTTTTTTATTTATTTAATTTCTTTTTCAATCAATAGTTAAAATCAATAGTTTTAAAAAAATTAAAATAAAAATTTTATTTCTATTTTTGAAAAATAAGTATAATTCCTCAAAGAGGGATATAAATGTACTTATATAATTATACAAGAAACTCCCTTAACTTTTTACAAAGAATCATCTCCTAAAATTTTTCGCACTTATTTAAATGCGCTCGGTATATATATTATATAAATTTTCAAAAGTGCTTGCTATATTTTATATACAAGCTCCGATTTTTTATCCACTGACCTTTCTTTTTCTTTTTTTTTCTGGATTTTTTTTTTTATCTTTTTCGATTCTCCATTTTTTCAAGCGTAAAGTACGACCTGGACTTGCACATAAGCGAGTTACACTGCAATGAAATCTTGTCGATGTTCGTGTTGTTATCGGAATATTGCACGCGGATGCACAAGCAAGACCACTCTTTTCAGGAAAGTAATATTGTCAACGATTTGACCCAACTGCTCAAACAGATTTCGACCAAGGAGGGAATCCGCAAATTGCGCTGTATTTTAAAAAATAACTCAACCAAGGAAAATTATTTTAATTTCATTATGTGATCGAACTTCGAGATAAAGGAGGAGCTGCTGATCCACGAGCTGTTGACAGCTTTATGTGCCGAAGAATTATTGAATAGCGAAATTCAGATGAGCGATTTTGTGGTGGACGACGATTGCGATTTACACTGGGAAGAAGTATTTTCGGCTGTTCAGCCGTATCATCTATGAATCCAGGAAATCCTACGTTTGGCTAAACTACGACAAGCTGCATCGGAACATCTTCGCCGGGGAACTTAACAAATTCAACGAGTAGGAAACTAATTTGATTGTAGCGATACGGAAATTGAGTTATGGATTTCTTTGAATTTTTTTTGGAGCCATGCACAAGTTGAACCAATGTTCACATTTATAAATAATGACAATGTTCTGAGTAGAAATCTGTAGTCATTAGAAAATAATACGCATCTTCGAAGTCTTTAATGATTGGTTTTTGTGTAATATATACTAATAATAAGAGCAAGTCGTATTAAAAATAAATCTGTTGTTTCTTATCACTTGATATCAATGTTTGCTAACTATTAAATTTATAAGTTTTTAGAAACTTGAGGAAAGAAGTGAAGTTCATGCAATCTTCAAAAATTTCTTAAAAATTTTAAAGTCGATTAATTCGAATAATTGTTATTAATTCAATCTCGCATTTGAGCTTTGTTGTTTTATAAATTCTTAATATTTTAATTAACTTAAAAAGAGGATTTAAAATATTATTTAATAACTTAATAAATGTCTTGTACATATTTTTAAGCTTTAAGTATTAAAAGATCTAGAAACGAATCTATAACAAAATAAAAGAACAAATCTATAACAAAAAAAACACAGAAAATGTTTTGAATAATAAAAATGCTTGCTATTTTATATACAAGTTCCGATTTCTTATCCACTGACCTCCCTTTTTCTTTTTTTTTCTGGATCATTTTTTTTTAAATATTTTTCGATTCTCCATTTTTTCAGACGTATATTATGACCTGGACACATAAGCGTGTTACACTACAAGACTGAAATCTTGTCGATGTTCGTGTTATTTTTGGAATATTGCACGCGGATGCACAGACATGACCACTCTTTTCAGGAAAGTAATATTGTCAACGATTTGACCCAACTGCTCAAACAGATTTCGACCAAGGAGGGAATCTGCAAGTTGCACTGGAAAGTTAATTCGATCATGGCAATATGGAAATTAAGTTTTGTATATTTTTGAATTTTCTTTTTTTTTTTGAGTGCACGAGTTGAACTGATGTTCACTTCTATAAATATGGACAATGTTTTGAGTAGAAATCTGTAGATTTGTAGTCACACACACACACACACGCACGCATGCACGCACGCACGCACACGCACACATTTGAAAATAATACGTAATCATCGAAGTTTCTAATGGATTGGATATTGCGTAATATATTCTAATTGTAAAAGCAAGTCGTATTAAAAAGGAATCAGTTCTTTTAGATCGTCGAATTTTAATGTTTCCTAGCTATTAAATTTATAAGGTTTTGGAAGCTTGAGGGAAGGAGTAAAGATCGTGCAATTTTCAAAGATTTCTCAAAAATGTTATAGTCGATTGATTGATTGTTATTAATTTACTCTCGCATTTGAATTTTGTTGTTTTATAATTTCTTGATATTTTAATTAATTTAAAAGAAGAATCTAAAACATAATTCATATTTCTTATGTATTCTATGAAAAATATTTTAAAACGAGATAACGATTCGGTGTCAAAATTCATTTATATATTTATGTACATATGTATTTAGATAATTCTTAAATTTGTAAAATGTAATTGTGCATTGATAATACAACAGGAAAAAATTAATATAAATAAATAATAATGAATATATAAAATAAATATGCAAATAAATAAATCATTTTAATGCATATCTTAATATTAAATACCGATATTAATAAAGAATTTTCTCAGTATGTTTTCTCTTCAAAAATAAACGAGTCGATTACTGAGCTAAAATATTTAATTAGTAATTACATTTATAATTCGCACAATTTGTTAATTAATTTTTAGATTCTCATATCTAGTAGCATACAGATATTTCCTTCTTGAACTAAATAAATTTTTGATTTTAGAAATTCCTCCACTGTTATATACAATTTCTGTTTATAATTGTAATCAAAACTTGAAATATTTTTAAAGACTTAAATACAAAAGTTAGAATATATTCAATTAAGTTAGGAAAAATTAAAAGAATTAATTAACAAATAATACTAATTATACCCAGATAGCCACAGTAATTATTATGACATCATTTTGATGTCATAATAATTACTGTGGCTATCTGGGTAAATTACAATATATATGTTGTTTAACTCAATAAACGTTTCCTACATATCTATAATTATTATAAGATACGAATCTATAACAGAAAGAACACAGAAAATGTTTTACATAATATATACTAATCGTTAAATATACCAATTACGAATTAAGCGATTACGTTTTATATTAACTTATTGTTAGTGTTAAGTTTCTTACGTGTTGAGCATGATTTTCTCTGTTTTAACTTAATATTGTAGTTTTAAATTATTTTTTCAATAATGTACTTTAACTGTATTCGTTTCACACATCATTTTTTCGATCTACTATAGATTGTAAAAATAAAAAATGGCATTTATTCTGTGTACTCTTTTCATATACCTTTATTCTTATCATATTACTTTTATTGTATTTTGATATATAAAACAATTACAAAAGCATATATATATATATATATATATATATATTTCACATGCGCATATTTATATAATAATTACATCTAGCAAAAACTTTCAATTTTAATATAATTAATGCTACATATTATTCAATTGTAAATTAAATATATGTTTTCATAAACCTGCGAAACATGAAATAATATTTAATAGTATCTAATAAATTATTTTATTCCTTCGAAATAATTTACGGAATAAACATATTCGAAGAATATCTCGAACATTCTTAGAAATAAGTCGAATATTCTTTGAAAATTAAGCTTTTCATGGTTGGCTTCTCGCGCAAAATCGTCGTTAGCCAATTAGAAATCAGAACGAGAACATGTGATTTTAACAATATTTCTTCTTCTTTCACTAAATGAAATTCCCTAACACCACTCACCAATTCGTTAAAATTGGTTTATCATTAGCATTTCTCTCAGTTCACGTGATAGAATCCAAGCAGCAAAATTGTCATTATAAACCACGATGTCAGAACTTTATAAGACAAGTGGTGAGTTAATAGTATATTAGCTGACAAGTGCGGGAAATCGTAAATCGGACGAGAGTGCGGAAGTTTGGCGCACGAAACGAAGCCGAGTGACATTTCGCACTCTCGGCCGATTTATGACCCGCACATGTTAATTACGATATTTTGTGTGCGTGGAGAGAGAGCTCTTTCTAAAATTCCATCATGCGTAAGGGCGACTTTTCGCGTGCCGGTTGCACAAAAAATAATATATTATAAAGTAACACAAGTTTGTCGCCAATTTACCTCGCGTATATAACAATTTAATGAATAATAATAATAATATTTTAAATAACAAACATTTGTTATTTCGCAAATATTTACTATATATATTATTTTATTTAAAATTTTTGAATAATATAACTTAACAATAGTCATATAATAAGTTTTGCGATCCGTTGGATTTAATTATTCTAGAATCATGTGTTTGATTTTGAGGTCTGTTAGCATTGATTATATTTTATCGATACACAATAATTCGAAGGGTTTATGTAGATATATTAGTAAACATGGGCAGATATTATACAATATTTTTCGGATATTGTTATTTAATATTTTGCCTTCTTTTCTTCTTTCTTTTTCGGTTGTCTTTTCTTATTAATTACTATATATTTATATATATAAAATAAATTAACATTTAATTTCTAGAAATCAATTTAATTGTATTTTGATGAGATATTGTAAAATGAATTATGATTTTCTACTTGTAATATCTATATTTACTGCTTTTGTCAGTTTAGCTTAATTAACACATTTTCGTCTTCCATGTTTATCAACAGTTGTCATCGAAGGTATCGATTTCACCTTTCAATGTCTGCAGAAAATTATTCACATAATGCCACGGAAAGATATTGTGTTTAGTTCGAATAGCTTATATGAGGGACTTATGATGGTTTATCGTGCATCCAGCAATGAGACTAAAGAACAATTGAAAAGTATCCTTCAATTACCGATACATCTTGGAACTAAATTCTGGGCATTAGACAAAATAATGGAGGAAAGAGAGAAGATACGAGAGAAGAAAAGAAAGGAAGAGACGGTAAAAAATATTTGTGCCTGATTTATATTTAATATTTCTCAAAATGTTTATCAAGGACTTATTTCAGAAATTTTAGTTAATGTAGGAACATTTTTGCACAGTATATATAATTTGACCTATTATTACATGCGCGATCAATGGGTATTAAAATATTTATATAATATTATAACACACAATGAAACAGATCATTTCTGCTTATTTTTAGTTTTTCAGATAGCTTTGTATAGAATTACGCAATTGATTAAGACTAACCGAAAATTTTAATAATTTTAATAATTTGTTAAATAATTTATTCAGCGGGACCGAAATTACGAATGCATTTTTAAGAGAAATAGAAAGTCAAGAATTAAAAACTTTATTTTTAACTAAATTTTGTCATTGTGCATTTTGAACAATAATATGTATTTAAATATAAAATAGTATATAATTACTACTTTATTAATCAAAATAGTTCAATAACCTAATATACATAAATATCTGGATAAGATAAGGATTCTGTTATATTAAAATATTACATAATATTATATTTAATATTATTAAACTAAAATTCATTATGAAAATGATTATATGAATAAATATTGTATATATAATATAAAATTCTACTTTTAAAAATAAATTTATGTAATCCATAGATAAAGTCTTTTATTTAAAAGAGAAAAGAATATAATCAAAAATTGTTTTATATTTATTGTTCCAGGTTAACGTCCATGCGATGGACGTTTGTTGCAGAGAGCATTGTTGTTGGATTAAAGACACCAAATGTTACAAAAAAAACAACCATTTAACTCCTGAAAATTGCAGATTGTTTGATCATTCCAATATTCCTAATGTAATGAATGATATTAATGAAGTATTGAAAAACGAGATGCAGGGTTACATCCCTCAACCTGTGGTATTTAACTCATTCAATAACAATATGGAATTTATTCTTTCGTACGGACTGCGGCTTAAAAGCCACCAAACACCAGTCGCGTATCCCTCTAGCAGTACTACCAGTAAATATGTCATTTTAATTTTATTTTACATGTGTGTGTACTTCAAATCTCTTTAATCTAATTCTATTATTGAAATTGTTTTAACTAATTTCATAATCAATTTATATTTCTAAATATTATATATTATCATCTATATGAAATACATAACATTAGTAATATATATTTATTAATATTTTATTTTATAGATGACGTTTTATATAACAATTTATAATAATAATTTTAATCTAATAGAAATGTTAGCATGAGAAAACATTTTCTACAGTTGATTAAAAGTAAACATAAACAAACGCACACACATGTACATTTCTCTAATTTATATGAATTTATATATATCATTTCTAAATTTTCAATATATGATCACAATGTGATTAAGTCAATACATTTTTATCTTAAAAGTGCAAGAAACAATATACGGATTTTTAAAAATTGTTGATATAAACAGAAATAGTATATGCAGTAATGTAATTCCGCTTCCATTAACTTTTATTACTCTTCTTTTATAGTCTTACAATTTTTTTCAGACATATCTCGCAAATTCGGCATGTTCGTGACTAAGATAGTATTTACAAACGAGATGTTGCTGTTCGCATTATTTCCAGCTGCTCAGGAATTAGCAAGATCTAATATATGGAAAATTGATGAAGATATTTCTGGATTGGTCAAAAGATTGGCAACTAAAGAACAAGCCGAAATGCTCCGTGAAACACTGTTTGAAAATGAATTGGAGAAATTGCCGGAAGAAAATACGATTTACCCCGATAACTTCGAACTGGAGCACGAATTGCCAATCGATCAGTTGTTGGAAATGTTGAATATCAAACATGTATTGAGTCCAGAGAAAGCCAGCCTGTTTGGTTTTACTAAAGAAAATCTGCATCTCGGCGGTGCGAATCATCGTGCATATATCAAGTTCACATCAAAAGACGTTACTGCTAATGCAATTAATATATTCTATACCGAATCTGGAGGGTCCTTTACATCAATGCAAGAACATAACAATTGTACTAAATACGAAAATTCGTTTGTCTGGTTGTTGTGTAACAAACAATATATTCTTTTTACTGGCGTTGTCAATAAAAATTGTTAGGTGACTTTCTCTTCAGCTTCTGTTTGAATTATTTTTAAAACAAAGTAATACAACAGAATTTTTTTATAGTCTCGTGAGATATTTCTAATATCTTGTAAGTATCAGTTTTGTAAAATAAATATTAATAATTCAAGAACTTAATTTTGTGAGAACATTATGTGTTCGAGATAACATTTAAAATTAATATAAAATTTTCGTGTTATATAAACTTTGACATTGTCACATATGATTACAATTGAATAACTGTTGCGATAGATTTATTGTTAACGTTTATTTTATTCTTCATTTTATTTTATTCATTAAAATTCACACTTGGCAAGATATAACTTACTATATGTCGTATAAAAAAATCAAGAAACAAATTCCATATAACGATAATATATAATTTATATTGCGATATAATTTATTAAATTATCTCTTTAAAATAGACTGTGAAATAATGTGAAAAAAACCTTTTTGTCATTTTAGTTGTTGACACAAATTATTTTGTACTAATTTTTGTACTGGAACGGTTGTTTGTCATTTCTATCATAAATATAATTCAATTTACTGTTTTAAATGCATATGTAGCTTTATATAGTAGCAATAAATAATTCCTAAAAAACAATTTATTATATCTTTTTATTATTAAGAATAATGCAAATATTCATCATCTATATATCTAGAGCTATTAAATGTGGATTATTTTAACTATAAGTTTAAATTTTAGAACAAATTATTTACTAGTAAATAAATTATTAATAAATATTTAATAAATAATAAATTAGTATATTTAAATTAATAAATATTTTGTTTGTAGACATCTTCCAATACTAACGTTTATTTATAAGACAAAATTATTTTACACTCGGCTCGGCTACCAGTGCATAAATTACATTCGATTGAATTAGTTAAATAAGAGAATTGTGTGTGCTTTATCAAACAACGTGTTTGTTCCTACTTTTCTGATCGTATAAACAAGAAGTGGAACTAAATATTCAAATTGATGAGTTTAAAAATTCTTTTCTAGAAATGTAAATTTCCTGTCGATTTTCGAATAAATAATGATTTAAAATATACGTATTTTACGAGTATATGTGGTATTATTTTATATATTGCCAAGTAAATTTATATTTCGATTAATTTAATGATCATTACTTGGCAAGTCTTAAAATTTGATAGTTGAAAGTACTCTAGAATTGCGTACTTGTTTTTAAGGGGATAAAACTAACAACTTGTATTTAATTTTTTATCAAAACTTTTTAACGGACCGAAATATGATCATCTAAAAATATGCGTTAAAAAGTTTGATTTCTTTAGAAACTTTTTTATTTATTTAATTTCTTTTTCAATCAATAGTTAAAATCAATAGTTTTTAAAAAAATTAAAATAAAAATTTTATTTCTATTTTTGAAAAATAAGTATAATTCCTCAAAGAGGGATATAAATGTACTTATATAATTATACAAGAAACTCCCTTAACTTTTTACAAAGAATCATCTCCTAAAATTTTTCGCACTTATTTAAATGCGCTCGGTATATATATTATATAAATTTTCAAAAGTGCTTGCTATATTTTATATACAAGCTCCGATTTTTTATCCACTGACCTTTCTTTTTCTTATTTTTTTCTGGATCATTTTTTTTTTATCTTTTTCGATTCTCCATTTTTTCAAGCGTAAAGTACGACCTGGACTTGCACATAAGCGAGTTACACTGCAATGAAATCTTGTCGATGTTCGTGTTGTTATCGGAATATTGCACGCGGATGCACAAGCAAGACCACTCTTTTCAGGAAAGTAATATTGTCAACGATTTGACCCAACTGCTCAAACAGATTTCGACCAAGGAGGGAATCCGCAAATTGCGCTGTATTTTAAAAAATAACTCAACCAAGGAAAATTATTTTAATTTCATTATGTGATCGAACTTCGAGATAAAGGAGGAGCTGCTGATCCACGAGCTGTTGACAGCTTTATGTGCCGAAGAATTATTGAATAGCGAAATTCAGATGGGCGATTTTGTGGTGGACGACGATTGCGATTTACACTGGGAAGAAGTATTTTCGGCTGTTCAGCCGTATCATCTATGAATCCAGGAAATCCTACGTTTGGCTAAACTACGACAAGCTGCATCGGAACATCTTCGCCGGGGAACTTAACAAATTCAACGAGTAGGAAACTAATTTGATTGTAGCGATACGGAAATTGAGTTATGGATTTCTTTGAATTTTTTTTGGAGCCATGCACAAGTTGAACCAATGTTCACATTTATAAATAATGACAATGTTCTGAGTAGAAATCTGTAGTCATTAGAAAATAATACGTATACTTCGAATCTTTAATGAATTGGTTTTTGTGTAATATATACTAATAATAAGAGCAAGTCGTATTAAAAATAAATCTGTTGTTTCTTATCACTTGATATCAATGTTTGCTAACTATTAAATTTATAAGTTTTTAGAAACTTGAGGAAAGAAGTGAAGTTCATGCAATCTTCAAAAATTTCTTAAAAATTTTAAAGTCGATTAATTCGAATAATTGTTATTAATTCAATCTCGCATTTGAGCTTTGTTGTTTTATAAATTCTTAATATTTTAATTAACTTAAAAAGAGGATTTAAAATATTATTTAATAACTTAATAAATGTCTTGTACATATTTTTAAGCTTTAAGTATTAAAAGATCTAGAAACGAATCTATAACAAAATAAAAGAACAAATCTATAACAAAAAAAACACAGAAAATGTTTTGAATAATAAAAATGCTTGCTATTTTATATACAAGTTCCGATTTCTTATCCACTGACCTCCCTTTTTTTTTTTTTTCTGGATCATTTTTTTTTAATATTTTTTGATTCTCCATTTTTTCAGACGTATATTATGACCTGGACACATAAGCGAGTTACACTACAAGACTGAAATCTTGTCAATGTTCGTGTTATTATCGGAATATTGCACGCGGATGCACAGACATGACCACTCTTTTCAGGAAAGTATTATTGTCAACGATTTGACCCAACTGCTCAAACAGATTTCGACCAAGGAGGGAATCTGCAAGTTGCACTGGAAGGTTAATTCGATCATGGCGATATGGAAATTAAGTTTTTTATATTTTTGAATTTCCTTTTTTTTTTGAGTGCACGAGTTGAACCGATGTTCACTTCTATAAATATGGACAATGTTTTGAGTAGAAATCTGTAGATTTGTAGTCACACACACACACACACACGCCGCATGCACGCACGCACGCACACGCACACATTTGAAAATAATACGTAATCATCGAAGTTTCTAATGGATTGGATATTGCGTAATATATTCTAATTGTAAAAGCAAGTCGTATTAAAAATGAATCAGTTCTTTTAGATCGTCGAATTTTAATGTTTCCTAGCTATTAAATTTATAAGGTTTTGGAAGCTTGAGGGAAGGAGTAAAGATCGTGCAATTTTCAAAGATTTCTCAAAAATGTTATAGTCGATTGATTGATTGTTATTAATTTACTCTCGCATTTGAATTTTGTTGTTTTATAATTTCTTGATATTTTAATTAATTTAAAAGAAGAATCTAAAACATAATTCATATTTCTTATGTATTCTATGAAAAATATTTTAAAACGAGATAACGATTCGGTGTCAAAATTCATTTATATATTTATGTACATATGTATTTAGATAATTCTTAAATTTGTAAAATGTAATTGTGCATTGATAATACAACAGGAAAAAATTAATATAAATAAAATAATAATAAATATATAAAATAAATATGCAAATAAATAAATCATTTTAATGCATATCTTAATATTAAATACCGATATTAATAAAGAATTTTCTCAGTATGTTTTCTCTTCAAAAATACAAACGAGTCGATTACTGAGCTAAAATATTTAATTAGTAATTACATTTATAATTCGCACAATTTGTTAATTAATTTTTAGATTCTCATATCTAGTAGCATACAGATATTTCCTTCTTGAACTAAATAAATTTTTGATTTTAGAAATACCTCCACTATTATATACATTTTCTGTTTATAATTGTAATCAAAATTTAAAATATTTTTAAAGACTTAAATACAGAAAGTTAGAATATATTCAATTAAGTTAGGAAAAATTAAAAGAATTAATTAACAAATAATACTAATTATACCCAGATAGTCACAGTAATTATTATGACATCATTTTGATGTCATAATAATTACTGTGGCTATCTGGGTAATCATTTTGATGTCATAATAATTACTGTGGCTATCTAGGTAAATTACTATATATGATGTTTAACTCAATAAACGTTTCCTACATATCTATAAGTATTATAAGATACGAATCTATAACAGAAAGAATACAGAAAATGTTTTACATAATATATACTAATCGTTAAATATACCAATTACGAATTAAGCGATTACGTTTTATATTAACTTATTGTTAGTGTTAAGTTTCTTACGTGTTGAGCATGATTTTCTCTGTTTTAACTTAATAGTGTAGCTTTAAACTATTTTTTCAATAATGTACTTTAACTGTATTCGTTTCACACATCATTTTTTTTATCTACTATAGATTGTAAAAATAAAAAATAGCATTTATTCTGTGTACTCTTTTCATATATTCTTATCATATTACTTTTATTGTATTTTGATATATAAAACAATTACAAAAGCATATATATATATATATATATATATATATTTCACATGTGCATATATATATAATAATAACATCTAGCAAAAACTTTCAATTTTAATATAATTAATGCTACATATTATTCAATTGTAAATTAAATAAATGTTTTTATAAACCTGCGAAACATAAAATAATATTTAATAGTATCTAATAGATTAATTGATTTTTTCGAAATAATTTACAGAATGATCATATTCGAAGAATATCTCGAACATTCTTAGAAATAAGTCGAATATTCTTTGAAAATTAAGCTTTTCATGGTTGATTTCTCGCGCAGAATCGTCGTTAGCCAATTAGAAATCAGAACGAGAACATGTGATTCTAACAATATTTCTTCTTCTTTCACTAAATGAAATTCCCTAACACCACTCACCAATTCGTTAAAATTGGTTTATCATTAGCATTTCTCTCAGTTCACGTGATAGAATCCAAGCAGCAACTTTGTCATTATAAACCACGATGTCAGAAAGTTATAAGACAAGTGGTGAGTTAATAGTATATTAGCTGACAAGTGCGGGGGATCATAAATTGGACGAGAGTGCAGAAGTTTGGCGCACGAGGCGAAGCCGAGTGACATTTCGCACTCTCGGCCGATTTATGACCCGCACATGTTGATTACGATATTTTGTGTGCGTGGAGAGAGAGCCCTTTCTAAAATTCCATCATGCGTAAGGGCGACTTTTCGCGTGCCGGTTGCACAAAAAATAATATATTATAAAGTAACACAAGTCTGTCGCCAATTTATCTCGCGTATATAACAATTTAATGTATAATAATATTAATATTTTAAATAATAAACATTTGTTATTACGCAAATATTTACTATATATATTGTTTTATATAAAATTTTTGAATAATATAGCTTAACAATAGTCATAAAATAAGTTTTGCGATCCGTTAGATTCAATTATTCTAGAATCATGTGTTTGATTTTGAGGTCTGTTAGCATTGATTATATTTTATCGATACACAATAATTCGAAGGGTTTATGTAGATATATTAGTAAACATGGGCAGATATTATACAATATTTTTCGGATATTGTTATTTAATATTTTGCCTCTTTTCTTCTTTCTTTTTCGGTTGTCTTTTCTTATTAATTACTATATATTTATATATATAAAATAAATTAACATTTGATTTCTAGAAATCAATTTAATTGTATTTTGATGAGATATTGTAAAATAAATTATGATTTTCTACTTTTAATATCTATATTTACTGCCTTTGTCAGTTTAGCTTAATTAACACATTTTCGTCTTCCATGTTTATCAACAGTTGTCATCGAAGGTATCGATTTCACCTTTCAATGTCTGCAGAAAATTATTCACATAATGCCACGGAAAGATTTTGTCTTTAGTTCGAATAGCTTATATGAGGACTTATGATGGTTTATCGTGCATCCAGCAATGAGACTAAAGAACAATTGAAAAGTATCCTTCAATTACCGATACATCTTGGAACTAAATTCTGGGCATTAGACAAAATAGTGGAGGAAAGAGATAAGATACGAGAGAAGAAAAGAAAGAAAAGGATGGTAAAAAATATTTGTGCCTGATTTATATTTAATAATTCTCAAAATGTTTATTAACGACTTATTTCAGAAATTTAAGTTAATGTAGGAACATTTTTGCACAGCATATATAATTTGACCTATTATTACATGCGCGATCAATGGATATTAAAATATTTATATAATATTATAACACACAATGAAACAGATCATTTCTGCTAATTTTTAGTTTTTCAGATAGCTTTGTATAGAATTACGCAATTGATTAAGACTAACCAAAAATTTTAATAATTTTAATAATTTGTTAAATAATTTATTCAGCGGGACCGAAATTACGAATGCATTTTTAAGAGAAATAGAAAGTCAAGAATTAAAAACTTTATTTTTAACTAAATTTTGTCATTGTGCATTTTGAACAATAATATGTATTTAAATATAAAATAGTATATAATTACTACTTTATTAATCAAAATAGTTCAATAACCTAATATATATAAATATCTGGATAAGATAAGGATTCTGTTATATTAAAATATTACATAATATTATATTTAATATTATTAAACTAAAATTCATTATGAAAATGATTATATGAATGAATATTGTATATATAATATAAAATTCTACTTTTAAAAATAAATTTATGTAATCCATAGATAAAGTCTTTTATTTAAAAGAGAAGAGAATATAATCAAAAATTGTTTTATATTTATTGTTCCAGGTTAATCCGATGTTCCATGCAATGGACGTTTGTTGCAGAGAGCATTGTTGTTGGATTAAAGATACCAAATGTTACAAAAAAAACAACCATTTAACTCCTGAAAATTGCAGATTGTTTGATCATTCCAATATTCCTAATGTAATGAATGATATTAATGAAGTATTGAAAAACGAGATGCAGGGTTACATCCCTCAACCTGTGGTATTTAACTCATTCAATAACAAGATGGAATTTATTCTTTCGTACGGACTGCGGCTTAAAAGTCACCAAACAGTCGCGTATCCCTTTAGCATTACTACCAGTAAATATGTCATTTTAATTTTATTTTACATGTGTGTGTACTTCAAATCTCTTTAATCTAATTCTATTATTGAAATTGTTTTAACTAATTTCATAATCAATTTATATTTCTAAATATTATATACTATCATCTATATGAAATACATAACATTAGTAATATATATTTACTAATATTTTATTTTATAGATGACGTTTTATATAACAATTTATAATAATAATTTTAATCTAATAGAAATGTTAGCATGAGAAAACATTTTCTACAGTTGATTAAAAGTAAACATAAACAAACGCACACACATGTACATTTCTCTAATTTATATGAATTTATATATATCATTTCTAAATTTTCAATATATGATCACAATGTGATTAAGTCAATACATTTTTATCTTGAGAGTGCAAGAAACATTATACGGATTTTTAAAAATTGAAATAAACAAAAATAGTCAATGCAGTAATATAATTCCACTTCTATTAACTTTTATTACTTTTTTCTATAGTCTTACAATTTTTTCAGGGATATCTCGCAAATTCGGCATGTTTGTGACTAAGATAGTATTTACAAACGAGACGTCGCTGTTCGCATTATTTCCAGCTGCGGAAAAATTATTAAAAGTTGATATTTGGAAAATTGATAAAGATATTTCTGGATTGGTCGAAAGATTGGCAACTAAAGAACAAGCCGAAATGCTCCGTGAAACACTGTTTGAAAATGAATTGGAAAAATTGCCGGAAGAAGATGCAATATACCTTAATTACTTTGAACTGGAGCACGAATTGCCAATCAATCAGTTGTTGGAAATGTTGAATATCAAACATGTATTAAGTCCAAAAAAGGCCAGTCTGTTTGGTTTTACTGAAGAAAATCTGCATCTCGGCGGTGCGAATCATCGTGCATATATCAGCTTTACACCAAGAAATGTTACTGCTAATGCAGTTAATATATTCTATACCGAATCTGGAGGGTCCCTTACATCAATGCCAGAACATAACAATTGTACTAAATACGAAAATTCGTTTGTCTGGTTGTTGTGTAACAAAGAATATATTCTTTTTACTGGCGTTGTCAATAAAAATTGTTAGGTGACTTCCTCTTCAGCTTCTGTTTGAATTATTTTTAAAACAAAGTAGTACAACGAAATTTCTTTATAGTTTCGTGAGGTATTTCTAATATCTTGCAAGTATCAGTTTTGTAAAATAAATATTAATAATTCAAGAACTTAATTTTGTGAGAACATTATGTGTTCGAGATAACATTTGAAATTAGTATATAATTTTCGTGTTATATAAACTTTGACATTGTCACATATGATTACAGTTGAACAATTATTGCGATAGATATATTGTTAACGTTTATTTTATTCTTTATTTTATTTTATTCATTAAAATTCACACTTGGCAAGATATAACTTACTATATGTCGTATAAAAAAAATCAAGAAACAAATTCCATATAACGATAATATATAATTTATATTGCGATATAATTTATTAAATTATCTCTTTAAAATAGACTGTGAAATAATGTGAAAAAAACCTTTTTGTCATTTTAGTTGTTGACACACATTATTTTGTACTAATTTTTGTACTAAAACGGTTGTTTGTCATTTCTATCATAAATACAATTTAATTTACTGTTTTAAATGCATATGTAGCTTTATATAATAGCAATAAAAAATTCCTAAAAAACAATTTATTATATCTTTTTATTATTAAGAATAATGCAAATATTCATCATGTATATATCTAGAGCTATTAAATGTGGATTATTTTAACTATAAGTTTGAATTTTAGAACAAATTAATTACTAATAATCAAATTATTAATAAATAATTAATAAATAATAAATTAGGATAGTTAAATTAATAAATATTTTATTCGTAGACATCTTCGAATACTAACGTATATCCATAAGACAAAATTATTTCACACTCGGCTCCGCTATCAGTGCATAAATTACATTCGATTAAATTAATTAAATAAGAGACTTGTGTGTGCTTTATCAAACAACGTGTTTGTTCCTACTTTTACCGTATAAACAAGAAGTGGAACTAAATATTCAAATTGATGAGTCTAAAAATTCTTTTCTAGAAATGTAAATTTCCTGTCGATTTTCGAATAGATAATGATTTAAAATATACGTATTTTATATGTGGTATTACTTTATATATTGTCAAGTGAATTTATATTTCGATTCATTTAATGATCATTACTTGGCAAGTCTTAAAATTTAGTAGTTGAAAGTACTCTAGAATTGCGTACTTGTTTTTAAGGAGATAAAACTAACAACTTGTATTTAATTTCTTATCAGAACTTTTTAACGGACCGAAATATGATCATATAAAAATATGCGTTAGAAAGTTTGATTTTTTAAAAAATTTTTTATCTTTTTTATTTCTTTTTCATAAAATCAATAGTTTTTAAAAAAATTAAAATTAAAATTTTATTTTTATTTTTATTTTTAAAAAATAAGTTAAAGTAATTCCTCAAAGAGGGATATAAATGTACTTATATAATTATATAAGAAAAACCTTCTTAATTTTTTACAAAGAATTATTTCCTAAAGTTTTTCGCACTTATTTGAATGCGCTCGGGATATATATTAAATAAATTTTCAAAAATTTTTGCTATTTTATATACAAGTTCCGATTTTTTATCCACTGACCTCTCTTTTTCTTATTTTTTTCTGCATCATTTTTTTTTATATTTTTTGATTCTACATTTTTTCAGACGTATATTACGACCTGGACTTGCACATAAGCGAGTTACACTGCAAACGAACCTTGTCGATGTTTGTGTTGTTACCGGAATATTGCACGCGGATGCACAAGCAAGACCACTCTTTTCAGAAAAGTAATATTGTTAACGATTTGACCCAACTGCTCAAACAAATTTCGACCAAGGAGGGAATCCGCAAGTTGCGCTGTATTTTAGAAAATAACTCAACCAAGGAAAATTATTTTAATTTCATTATGTGGCCGAACTTCGAGATGAAGAAAGAGCTGCCGATCCACGAGCTGTTGACAGTCTTATGTGCCGAAGAATTATTGAATAGCGAAATTCAGATGGGCGATTCCGTGGTGGATGACGATTGTTATTTACACTGAGAAGAAGTATTTTCGGCTGTTCAGCCGTATCATCTATGAATCCAGGAAATCCTACGTTTGGCTGAACTACGACAAGCTGCATCGGAACATCTTTGCCGGGGAACTTAACAAATTCATCTTTCATGGTTGGCTTCATGCGCAGAATCGTCATTAGTCAATCGGAAATCCGAACGAGAACACATGACTTTAAACGATATTTGTTTTTTTCTCACTAAATGAAATTTCCCAACACCAACATCTTCCCAATTCGTTAAAGTTGGTCTATTATCAGCATTTCTCTCAGTCTACGTGATACAATCCAAGCAGCAACTTCGCCATTATATACACCACGATGGCGGAATATTCTACGTATAATCGTAAGTTCAAAAATATTATATAAAGTAACATAATAAATCTATCGCCAATTTATCTCTAATATAACAATTTAATAAATAATAGTAATAATATTAATAAAAAATATTTGTTTTAACGCAAATATTTCCTTTTTATTATATTTTGAATAAAGTTTTTCGATAATTTAACTTAGTGATAGTCATTTAATAAGTTTTGCGATCCGTTAATTTCAATTGTGGTAGAATAATGTGCTTTATTTAAAGGTCGGTTAACGTTGATTATATTTTTTCGATACACATAATAATTCATAGTGCTTATGTAGATATATTAGTAAACATGGGCAGATATTCCAATATCTTTCGGATACTGTTATTTAAAATTTCCTCCATTCCCTATTTCTTTCTCGATTGTCTTTTATTATTGAATTTTATATATTTAAATATAAATTAAATTAACATTCGACTTTTAGAAGTTGATGAACGGATATCTAAAGAATTTTTACTATTTCTTTTCTTCTATCTATTTTCAGATATAGATTATCAATTTATTTATAATAAAGTTTACATTATAAAGAATATTTGACTAAAGCGAGCAAAAATTATAAAATACATGTATCGCATATTTTCTCTAGTAATATTGCAACTTATTTATATTTTCTTCAAGAATATTTAAATAATTTTTTAGGATATACATCGTTGCTAATCTTTTATCGTATATTTTAACAAATTTGAAATTAAATTAAAAATTTTTGCAAAACAAATCATTGTCTTGCAAATTACTTGTCGAATAATTTTAATGCTATTTAAGTAGCATATTGAATTTAATTAGATTCTGATGAAATTGTAGAATAAATTATGACTTTCTGTTTGTAATATCTCTATTTGTCTTTTGTCAGTTCAGCTTAATCATCACATTTTCGTTCTCCATGTTTAGCAACAGCTCAGATAGGATATTTTGAATTCAACCTTAAATGTCTGCAGAAAATGATTTGTATAATGCCACAGAAAGAGTTTGTCTTTAGTTCAGACGGCTTATATGAGGGACTTATGATGGTTTATCGTGCATCCAGCAATGAGACCAAGGAACAATTGAAAAGTGTCCTCCAATTACCGATACATCTTGGAACAAAATTTTGGGCATTAGATAGAATTGTGGAAAATAGAGAAATGGAAGAACAAACAGAAGAAGATGTGGTAAAGAAATTTATCTGTTGTTGTATTAACATTTTTCCACAACATATGTAATTTAACCAATTATCACATGCATGATCAATGATTATTAAAGTGTTTAAATGTATTATTATATAACACGATAAAACTCAGATTATTCCTGCTTTTTCTAGTTGATAATATTGCTTTGTAGAAAATTAGCAATCGATTGAGGCTAAACGAAAATTTTAATAATTATATTAATTGTGAAATAAATTATTAAGCGGGACCAAAATTACTAATACGTTTCTAAAAGAAATAGAAAGTCCAAAATTAACAATTTCATATTCAATTAAATTTTGTCATTGAGCAATTTTTAAACAATAATATTTTCGACTATTGCGGAGGAATACTTAATCGGTACGATGCGAGTCGGAAATTAAATAATGAGAGGCTTTAATTGCATGAAACTGAAAGTATATTCGTTAAGAAAGCACAGTCTTAAAAAGTCGATACATGAATATTAAATCGCTCGGATTAACAATATACGTCCGTACGCGGTGACAGTCGATAACCGAATCTCTCCCACGCAAAATCGCTCCTCATATCTTTCGCCTCAAAAATCCATCTTCGATAGGCTTCGAGAGGCTTCGAAAATTTTCTGTTCGTTTATTTCCTTTGTCTCTTAACGTCTTAATATTTGTCTCCGTGCTTCTCGTCTTTTGTCTCTCTCTGTCTCGTCTGTTATGTTTTTATTTATATTTATTTGTGTCTCGGTACTTTTCGCATGTGTGTGGCCGTATTCGTATAAGTATTTTCGCTCGTTAATTTTTGGGAAGTATGTGACAATGTAATCGCCACAATATATTTAAATATAAAGTATTATAATTACTGCTTTATTAATCAAAATATTTCAAACTAATATACATAAATACGTCGATAATATTATGATTTTGTTAAATTATAATATTACATATAATGTTGTATTTAATAAAATTAGACTAAAATATAATGAAATGATTATGTGGAATAATGTTGTGTATAATATAAATTTCTACTGTTAAAAATAAATCTATGTAATCTACAATTAAAGTTAAAGTCAATTAATACAATTGTCGCTCGTATATTGAAAACAAAGTGATAAATATAAGGCCAACTTATCGAGCTGAATATTCGAGATGTTCAGTCAACTACCATTTATTACATGTATAAATTATAAAACTACAGTCATTATATTAAAACTAACGCAAATTACAATCATTCTATAAACGTTTCGACCGCACGCGGTCTTCTTCAGTATAATTATTGAAATATAAATTCTTACAATTCACATAATATCGAAATTTAATTATAGTTATTCAGAATCAAGAGTTTTTGAGTAATTAACGCGTGTTTCAATCCGTCCTGTCCAACAATGTTCGCCTCGATATGATCCCTGATTTTGTTCAGATCTCGGATAGTTTCATCGTTAATATGCGAGAAATTAACCCGTTCCGTAGGCGCTGCGATTT